ATAAAATAATAAAAATAAAACATAATAAAACAATTCTCACGACGTTTCGGCCACAACGCAAGCAGCCGTCCTCAGGTGAAAACCAGGTCCGTCGAGGCGACAGAGTCTGAATGAAACAGCACACGGGCTTGGAGCATATATATAAGCTGGGCGCATTGACAAAGGAATTTGCATATCAACAGGAATTTAGCATATTTATGGGAAATGCAGGAATGTAATTAGTACTGCATATGCATGTGCATTATGCAGGATTAACAGCATCAAAGGGAGCTGTAGTTACTGCTGCTGCAGTAGTTGCTGCTGCTGCAGTAGTTGCTGCTGCTGCTGCAGTTTCTGCTGCTGCTGCAGTTGCTGCTGCTGCTGCAGTTGCTGCTGCTGCTGCACTTGCTGCTGCTGCTGCACTTGCTGCTGCTGCTGCACTTGCTGCTGCTGCTGCAGTTGCTGCCTTATCCATTTTAATATAACACTATGTATTATTCTACCCACCCTAATGTGTATCATACTGCTATATGTTTACTGTACAATTACGACACCATACATTACTCTGCACACTGCACCATGCCAGTGAGTGGAACGCGGTCTGAAAGTCACCGTTAACGTGAACACAATCAGTTAAGATCCGAAATGGTTTATTACGTCCTTCCAATGATTGCTAAGCCAGAATCCATCTTCTCGGTTGAAATTGTCTCTGTGTTTGTATATGTGGATCGCCTCATGAACGAATCTCTCATGATAGCCAGATGGCTTGCAGAGAACCTCTGTCTTGGAGAAGTCAATGTCATGTGAGCCCACTGAATTGTAACAGTGATCTGCCACGGCTGAGGTGTTTGTCCTACCGTGTTTCAGGTCTGCCTTATGTTCACGGATGCGGTCCGAGACATGTCGTTTGGTTTCTCCAATGTAACTGCTACCACAGAGGCAACTTAGTTTGTAGACGCCAGGGTACTGTATGTCTGGAACCACATCTTTTACAGACGGGACCAGATCACGGATTTTATGTACTGTGTTGAATCGGACCTGGATCTTGTGTTTAATCAGGATTTTGGAGATCTTTTTTGTGACCCCAGCAATGTAGGGTAAGGTGATGGTCTTGAAAGGCTCCTCAACAGGATCCTTCTTGATGGTTGGAGTGATGGCTTTGCGGATTGTGTAGTCGGAGTAACCATTAGCCTTAAGAGCTTGGCGTACGTGTTTGAGTTCACTGGAAATGTGTTCATGGTCGGAGATGCATTGGGCTCTATGATATAGAGTCTTGATGAGGGAATTCTTCTGGGATGGATGGTGGTGGGAATCCGGTTTTAGATAAGCATCCGTGTGGGTGGCTTTCCTGTAGACAGAGTGGCTCATTGAACCATCAGGTCTCCTTTTGATTAGGACATCCAAAAAGGGTAGCTTGCCATCATTTTCGACTTCCATGGTGAATCTGATGGCTGGGTGTATGGAATTGATGTGGTCGAGAAATTGGTCTAGAGCAGGCCGGCCATGTGGCCAGATGACAAAAGTGTCGTCTACGTACCTCTTCCATAAGGTCGGGCGTAGGATGGCAGTCTGGATGGCGTCCGTCTCAAATTTCTCCATGAAGATGTTGGCTACAACCGGAGATAGGGGGGAGCCCATTGGGGTGCCCTCAATTTGCTTGTAGAAGGTTCCATTCCTGGAACCTTCTACAAGCAAATTGAGGGCACCCCAATGGGCTCCCCCCTATCTCCGGTTGTAGCCAACATCTTCATGGAGAAATTTGAGACGGACGCCATCCAGACTGCCACCCTACGCCCGACCTTATGGAAGAGGTACGTAGACGACACTTTTGTCATCTGGCCACATGGCCGGCCTGCTCTAGACCAATTTCTCGACCACATCAATTCCATACACCCAGCCATCAGATTCACCATGGAAGTCGAAAATGATGGCAAGCTACCCTTTTTGGATGTCCTAATCAAAAGGAGACCTGATGGTTCAATGAGCCACTCTGTCTACAGGAAAGCCACCCACACGGATGCTTATCTAAAACCGGATTCCCACCACCATCCATCCCAGAAGAATTCCCTCATCAAGACTCTATATCATAGAGCCCAATGCATCTCCGACCATGAACACATTTCCAGTGAACTCAAACACGTACGCCAAGCTCTTAAGGCTAATGGTTACTCCGACTACACAATCCGCAAAGCCATCACTCCAACCATCAAGAAGGATCCTGTTGAGGAGCCTTTCAAGACCATCACCTTACCCTACATTGCTGGGGTCACAAAAAAGATCTCCAAAATCCTGATTAAACACAAGATCCAGGTCCGATTCAACACAGTACATAAAATCCGTGATCTGGTCCCGTCTGTAAAAGATGTGGTTCCAGACATACAGTACCCTGGCGTCTACAAACTAAGTTGCCTCTGTGGTAGCAGTTACATTGGAGAAACCAAACGACATGTCTCGGACCGCATCCGTGAACATAAGGCAGACCTGAAACACGGTAGGACAAACACCTCAGCCGTGGCAGATCACTGTTACAATTCAGTGGGCTCACATGACATTGACTTCTCCAAGACAGAGGTTCTCTGCAAGCCATCTGGCTATCATGAGAGATTCGTTCATGAGGCGATCCACATATACAAACACAGAGACAATTTCAACCGAGAAGATGGATTCTGGCTTAGCAATCATTGGAAGGACGTAATAAACCATTTCGGATCTTAACTGATTGTGTTCACGTTAACGGTGACTTTCAGACCGCGTTCCACTCACTGGCATGGTGCAGTGTGCAGAGTAATGTATGGTGTCGTAATTGTACAGTAAACATATAGCAGTATGATACACATTAGGGTGGGTAGAATAATACATAGTGTTATATTAAAATGGATAAGGCAGCAACTGCAGCAGCAGCAGCAAGTGCAGCAGCAGCAGCAAGTGCAGCAGCAGCAGCAAGTGCAGCAGCAGCAGCAAGTGCAGCAGCAGCAGCAAGTGCAGCAGCAGCAGCAAGTGCAGCAGCAGCAGCAAGTGCAGCAGCAGCAGCAAGTGCAGCAGCAGCAGCAGCAAGTGCAGCAGCAGCAGCAAGTGCAGCAGCAGCAGCAGCAAGTGCAGCAGCAGCAGCAACTGCAGCAGCAGCAGAAACTGCAGCAGCAGCAGCAACTACTGCAGCAGCAGTAACTACAGCTCCCTTTGATGCTGTTAATCCTGCATAATGCACATGCATATGCAGTACTAATTACATTCCTGCATTTCCCATAAATATGCTAAATTCCTGTTGATATGCAAATTCCTTTGTCAATGCGCCCAGCTTATATATATGCTCCAAGCCCGTGTGCTGTTTCATTCAGACTCTGTCGCCTCGACGGACCTGGTTTTCACCTGAGGACGGCTGCTTGCGTTGTGGCCGAAACGTCGTGAGAATTGTTTTATTATGTTTTATTTTTATTATTTTATTACTTCCCTTCTACGTGACTTTACCGAAAGAACCAAGAAGATGAATCCCTGCAGTCACGAAAGCTTTAAATCGAAATTGTCTCACTTCTCTTCCGGTATCTCTCCCTTAAGACCTCATCCCTCTCTCCCACGTGACCTAACTCCTCCCCCCGTGACGTCATATCTGCGAGGCCGTTTACGCCCGCATTACACCATGATGCGGTGAAGTAAACGTTGATATGATATAACAGTGAATGCTTCCAAAAACAATACTGTACTTAAATATTACTGTTAACTTACTTTCAATAGAAACATGAATTGCTCATACGAATATTCTCTCTCTCTCTCTCAGAATCGACCGACTGATGTAGCAGACGAAACAATTATCTTGTTGAACGATTCTAAACCTTGATGCGGCAATGTTAGTTTTCTCTGTTATTCAAGGTTATCTCAGTGTTATTCAATGTTGTTACATTTAGTTTACTATTACACTGAATTCTATTGCGTAATTAACTATTTTTGTGCCTAATAATCTTTAAAAAAAAACAATATTTATATACAGTTCGTAGGAGTCTGGAACGGATTAATTGTATTTACATACAATCCAATGGGGAAATTAGGTTCGAGTCACGACCAAATCGGGTTGGACAAGTTCGGCGGGCCGGATTAAAAAGCCCAACGGGCCGTATACGCCCCGCGGGCCGTACTTTGCCCATGTCTGCACGAGAGGGTTCCAGGAGCCTCCCTCGGAGGTCTTCCGTGACCTTTGCCCCAGTTCCTCCGCCCTGCCGGCACTCCTGTGTCTATGCTCGATGGCGTGTGCGCTGACTGTTCTCCGCAGTTGGCGCTGCTGGCAGCAGTCGGCGCTGTCACTACACATTGTACAATTGGCAACATGTATGCATGCTGCGGCAAGGATTGTCACGCAAGGATTGGCCTACTAAGTCATTCTAGTCGCTGCAAAACCTACAGCTGACCTCGTAAGGCGCAAAAGAATTGTCTCTCGAGACACAGGCCTATGATGATGATGCATGCTAACCTTCTTTCGCACTGTACAACAGGAATCGATTTTTAATCAGACACGTTCAAAACAACACCATGGCCTTCAAAGGAAATATTTAACAGGCGACGTTAATGTATGGGCCATGAATAAAACTCATCGTCCGAAACATCGACTATTCTATACTTTTATTCTAAGGCTCGAGTGGTGGTGCTGTGCTTGTGCACCACCAATACCGTAGCCGCAGATTCTTATTTTATTGTTAATCCGGTAATTAAACTACATAATTACATGGGAAACTGATTATCTTAACAGATCCACAGGCGCTACAATCCATTCCATTCTAATCGATTTCAACAGCTTCACGCTACTGATTTTCAATTTTGATCGATTACAATGGTAAGAGTATATTCCAATTGCAAGAAATGACACGCATCGATTACTCCACTACGACCGATTCCAAGTGAGTTGCATTGTGGAATCGATTCCGCGATCCGATCGATTTCACTAAAGGAACCGTATTAACCATGTTTAGATTCACGTCGCTTAACATGGCGACACGATTCGTTCTATAACTGGAATCGATTCCAATCCTGTTAATAAAACACCAGGGACCCAGGGGCGGCGATGGTGACTATTCATGAGTATTCGATCACGAATCGAATAAATCGATTCAATTTTTGGATTCTTTAACAAAAAAGAAAGCGAAATGGCGCTTGGAGGTGACGATCTGGGTGAGCTTATACGAGCAACAGCAGCACAGATGAACAACACGGACCAACAACTTAACCATCGATGATTGAAGTTTTGTTAAAAGTTATTTTCGAAGCGGTAAAAGTTAATAAACGGTGGCCTGTGTCGATGTTTTAAGTTGTGTAAGCATCGACTCGCGGTCCCTGCACGTAAACTCGGATACAGACGCCACAGAGATGAAGTGAAATTAGACGGAGCAATGCGCAAGTTGTGACCGCTTCTACAATTAAATAACATAAAGACTACGCTGTTGAAGACAGGAATTGCAACTTTGCTGTGGATTACAACAAGTGACTTGTAAAAACGGATACATACAGATATACATAAGAGACATGCGTAATAGAGACGCATATATACGCATTGTTATACACATCTGCGCAGCGATATAAATAGTGATATACACGTCGCATATCTTCATGTATCGGTCTTTGTATCTGTTGCTGTCGATGTGTATTTTGTTGTCTCTGTGTGAGTGTGTCTTCGTGTCCGTGTCTGGACCGGTTCTATTAATGCCGTGCCGGCCTTCATAGGTGCTCGCTAACAGAACTTGCTCCAAAAAAAGTCTTTACGCTATACGTGGGATCGTTGTCAACTTGTCTCTCCGTCTGTAGCGGGGAGTCAATTGATCTCGTGAAGCTGATGAAATATGAACGAAACTTGTGTACTGTATGTCCAGTATGTTGAACTTCTTTCGCACCGTACGTAGCCACCCGTGCCCGCGATTCGGGACTTAGCCCAGCGGGAGAAAAAAAATCTGCCAAATTAGTAAGACATTTTTTACAAAAATAATAAAATATTGTTTTTACAAAGGTGTTTTTTTTTTTTACAAAATATTATTCTTTTGAGGTGAAAATAAACCTTAATTTTGGTGGCTAAAAATAATTATTTTATGGGCCTGTGACCACCGGCGAGAGATCAATTGGACCTTGGCCCGCCAGTAAACAAAAGCGACCGCACCGCGCCCCGGGGCCTTGGAAGCCCGCGACGCGGCCCCGCCTCCGATGGGCTCGGACATTCAGATTGTCGCTTGTCCACCTCGAAATGTGTAATTGGTGGTGGATTTTAGAGCCAAACCATTGAGGCTCGTAGCCAGGCTAAAGGCTCCCTGTGTGGGGTTCAATGTTTATCACTGCGGCTCACAGATACACAGGCTGTCTTATGCTTCAGGGTTAATTATATATCAATACGATGGATGCCCACTGAGACTACTCATGTTAATTACGTCCACAATTGATTCAATTTGATCATCCAGATATAATTCCCCCCTCTTTTATTAAGTGAATGGATTCTTCCTTATTTTAACGCTGACCCCTGCAAACATTGACTCAAAATAATCAGCGTCATTGCGGAGAATATAAATAACAAAACAAACAGGCAAACAGCACGTCCAAAAACAGCACGTCTCCTTCACATATCCGTGTTTCCGCATACAATAAACAAATTTACTTTCTGAAAGCCGTGCGGCTGGTAGGTTTCGTAATAAACTTTATGTGGAGACAGACGTGTGTGCAAGACAGATTACATAATTCCGCAAACAAGCTAATTATGTAAGTGGTCGTGTATTGGTTTTTTGCAATTTCCCCCCTATGGTTGCATGTCCTTTGGTTTCGGCCACCATCCCCCTTTCTCTGACTGAAAAATGGATTTGCCCAAATCATAAGGTTCGTTTCAAGAGACGGTGGTGGTGATGGGGTTCGTGATGTGGTTGTGAATGTTATTTATATTGTTTTGGTGATATTTATGTTGTGGTTGTCGGTGGTGATGATGATGAAAGTAATGATGGTGATGATGGTATAGTGATGGTGTGTACGGCTATGTATGCGTATATATGTGTGTTAAATAATTAATCGTGTATTCTCCATCTCTCCCGTTGCCTCTCTCCCCGTACATCTCTCTCTCCCCATGTGTTCCTCCCTCTCCTCCATCTCTGTCTCACCGTGTCTCTCTCCCCGTTTCTCTCGCTTCTCATGTCTCTCCCCGTGTGTCTCTCTCTCTCCCCATGTGTCCCTCTCCCTCTGTCCCTCGCTCACCATGTTTGTCTCCCATTGTCACTTCTCTCCCTGTCGCTTGGTCTCTCGCTTCTCATATCTCTCCCCGTATGTCTCTCTCTGTGTGTGTAGATTTTGAATTTTCCCCGAATAGGTTTCCTAAACACGTTCCAACAGCTATGGACAATGAAATTAACAAGATCGCTGAGGTATTGTCAGCAACATCATTATCGGCATCCTTGGAAACATAATTAGGAACAGTACCATCAATATCATCAGCAGCATAATCGGCAACATCATCGGTGGCAGCATCACCAGTAGCATTATCATCAGCAGCATCACCATCATTATCACCAGCAGCATCATCAGCAGCATCACCACCGTTATCATTACCACCATCAGCATCAGCACTATGTGGTTTTGGCCTAAATGTCTCTCCTGTACTTTTTATATTCATTTATTTAAGATATCTCTTTTATTGCACATATGGTGAGCAAACTGCATGTGATTTGATGTTGCAATTGTGTCTTACCTGCCAGTCACTTGGAATGGTGCATGATGTGAATGTAGTTTTCCTCGAATGTATTTTCCTCCATGTTAGCAATGTGATTTTTTTTGTGCTGCAACTTCCTTTATTTTCACCAAGATCCTATGTGGGTCATTCTTTTAAATCAGCTTGAGGCTGAATGTTTGTTACCCTCGCAAACAAATAAAAGAAAAAATCCACCATCCCATGTCTCCCTCTCACTGTGTGTTCTCGTGTCTCTAACCCTGTGTCTCCCTCCTGCTCTGTCTGTGTGTCTCTCAGGAGCTCTTCTCTCGGACAGTGGGAGACAGGGTTGTCCCTGTGTCTCCGTATGAGTTTCCAGAGGAGACGCCAATTGAGAGACTCGAGGAAAAGAGACAACAGCTCCAGAGACAGATTACTCACGACATCACGTGATTATGAAATTAATTTACTCCAGACAGTGATCACTGTTTGGCGATGATAGATTACACCACTGACATTCATCGTGACATCACCTGATTACCGATTACTTGAGTAGATTACATATTAAAGCAACTTCAGAACAGATTACATTTACACATACAATGGAGAGACAGATTATAAGCAATATATATATAATCAATATATAACACAATATATAAACTACTGATTAAAATGGCTGATTTCTGATGATAGTCACTGATTAGAATAACTGATTTCTGCTGACAATCTGATTACATCTGATTTAAGATAAACTGATTTCTGATGACAATCTATGACTTCTGATTACGATTTTTGCTTTTTGTCTGTGTATGTAGATTACAACCAGATATTTTGGTGCGTGCCAAACAAGATTTTATGAAAATTGACAGCACAGCTGATTTAGAGTGAGACTCACTCATCCACCTAACAACATCAATAATAAACTTCATTCACCACAGTAGCAGTGACATCATCACAGAGCTTGTAGCAGGCTAGGTGCACCTTGAGGCCGACCTGTAATAAGGCTTGTTGACAGGTCACAGGACAAACCCAGGTGCCATGAGTTGATTGAATGAGATGACTGGCAGAAGACAGTGCCCCCTACTGTTCCAACCTGTGTTCTATATTCCCGGCGCTCCGCTCGTTGTTGGGAGCATCGCTCCTCCCTCCGTTATTGCTGGAGGGTGACTGCCTCCAAATGCCCAGCAGCATCCTTCACGAGCCTGCACAGAAGCAATCTTGACGCTGCTGGTACCAGTCATCGGCAACTCCACTCAGCTCCATATCCTCATGTACCGAATTAGTCCATCTCTTGACCAAGGCCACGCCTGTTTAGCACCTACTATCTGGCATTTGGGGGCTAGGCATGCAGGCTCCATGACCCAGTCGATGCAGCTTTGCCTGCTGGAGCAGCTCGCTAATAGGGCTGTGTCCAGATATTTTAAGGATCTGTGAGCTCACACAATCCATGCTACACCCAGGATCGATTGTAGACAGACCATCCTAAATGTTTAGAACCTGCGCAGATGTTATTTTAAAGGGCACCACTTTTCACAAGCATAGAGAAGGGAGAGCATAACTGTGCCCGAAAAGTCTCACACACCAATCTACTCACCCACTCAACAATCCCTCACCACTCACCCACCCACTCAACACTCTGTCACCACTCATTCATCTGCTCGCCCCTGTTGCCTCCTTGTGTGTGTCTTATTTGCCCTGATCTCTCTCGTCCTCTCACCCGCCCCCTCTTTCTCCACATGTGTGAGTGTGGAGAGTGGTAGTGTAGTGGTTAGCGGACTGTGCTATGAACCCAACGACCCGAGTTCCATTCCCGCTCATGGCCAACACCAGTGACGATTATCTGAACCGGTCCAGGACCTCTTCTAGGTAGACTCGGCCTCAAATCAGTACCTTGTGCTTTGGGTAAACTTCACCACTGGGGAGACAAAAGCGGTCAGGTGGTGTACTGGCAACCCACCCCCTTCGTGTGTCGTGCCGGCCTTCATAGGTGCTCGCTAACAGCACTTGCCCCAATAGTCTGTTAAGGCTATACAGGGGATCTTTGGCTTTTAGTAATGATTGTCTCTCCCTTCACTCGCTTCTCTCTCTTCTCTCCTCTCTCAGGGACTATGTGAGGGAGGCTGAGGAGAGTGACTCAGGGGCTCAAGGACACTCGGACTCGGATCTGGAACTCGAGTTTCAGAGACTCCTGATCACCGGGGAGGACGCGTGTGGGGTGAGTATCCTTTGTTTACCTGTGTACAGTTGATCATCGATTATCCGATGCGCGATTATCTGGCTTCCAACATTTGGCGGTCCCGGGCTGATCCGGCAAAAACCCCTCCCAAAGGCTGTACCAGTCCGGAAATCGGCACCATGTGCGTGACAAAAAAAGTCTCGGTGCTTGATTGTGTCACATTATATACAGTTCATTATACACTACATACAACTTAAACAATGAAAATACTGCACTGTATACATTTTTAATGACTAATAACTACAGTCATAAAAACAATATACAGAGTGCGATCTGGCGAAAGTGCGTTGTGTAATTCGGCGTTCGCCGGAGCACCGGTCTAAAGGCTGCATCAGTCCAAGAACCGTCCAGCACAATTTGTTGAAACAAGAGCGTACATACATCACCCCATGCAGAGTCCTGGACATTGGAGTGGTAGATATTTGTTCTATCTACGTGGCTTTACTGAAATACCCAAAGAATAAGTACGATATAGTAAATACAGTAACTTCTTACAGTATTGTCTATTTGTATGCTTAATCTTGATTTGAAGCTTTCGTGACTGCAGGAATTACTCTTCGGTTCTTTTGGTAAAGTCACGTAGAAATAAAAAATAAAATAAATAATAGAACATGATGTTTCGATTGCAACAACACCCCGACACAAGCAACCATCATCAGGTGAGAACTGTATATAATTGCAAGCTTGGAGAGACACACATATACAGAGAGAGACACACAGAGAGAGAGAGAACCAGAGAGAGAGACATACAGAGAGAGAGAGACATACAGAGAGAGAGACAACAACAACCGCCATTCGCCACTAAGTGGCGGTGACGTCACCATGACGCTTGTGCCAGGCCATGTGCACCTTGAGGCCACGTGAAGTGTCGAACACCCGCTGGCAGGAGATCACGGGTCAGACCCAAGTGCCACGGGTCGACTGACTGAGATGATCGAGATGACTGGCTGATGCACCACCTGTGCCCCCTACTGTACCAACTTGCTGTGCTTTAGCCACCCGGTGCTCCGCTCGTTGTGAGCGTCACTCCTCCGCCCTCCGTTGTTGTTGGAGGGCGACTGCCTCCAACTGCCCAGTAGCGTCCTTCACGAGCCTCCTCCACAGAGGCCGATCTTGACACCGCTGGTACCAGTCATCGGCAAGTCCACTCAGCTCCACGTCCTCCTGTACCACATCAACGCAGCCTTGCCTGCCGGAGGAGCTCACCGATGGGACTTTGCCCAGATCTTTCAAGGATTTGTGAGCTCACACAATCCAGCCTGGTTAAACCCAGGATGGATCGTAGGCAGGCCAGCCTAAATGTTTCCAACCGGCGAAGATGCTCCATTAGGGGGGTCCACGTTTCGCAAGCGTAGAGAAGGGAGGGAATGACTGTGGCCGAGAAGACCTGAAGCTTCGTGCGGAGCGACAGACCAGGTAGCTTCCACACAGCGTTACGCAACCGATGGAAAGATATTGCCGCTCGAGTGATTCGGAGTAAGACCTCAGCTGTTAAACTGGAGCCGGTCATAAGCACACTGCCCAGGTATGGGAAACTCTCCACTCTCTCCACTACTACCCCATCACCGATTGGAAGTTGTGGGGGTGGAGTGTCCAATGGTACAAAATACCCAGGAAGGTGCTTAGTTTTGGTGGGGCTGATGGTAAGGCCCCACCTCTTAGTGGCACGCTGCAGTCTCAGCAGCAGCGTCTCTCTCCAACTCCTCCTCTGAGCAGCTATTACCAAATCATCGGCATACATAACGTGGTTGACCAATAGGGAGCCATCCCTTGATCGCACCCGGGCATCAATCAGCCTCCCATTATATCTGTACCAAATGAAAATTCCCCCGGTACAGCTATTGAAGGCTTCACGAACTACGCGGTCAAAATAGATGTTAAATAATGTGGGAGCCAGAGGACATCCCTGTCGCACCCCAAGGTGTACAGGGAAAGGCTCTGACTCCCGGCCACATAGTTTTACCCGGGCCCGCTCAACCATCATGAAGGTCCTTAATGATCGTGAGCAGAGGGTCAGGGACTCCGAAAGCACGAAGAACAACCCAGAGCCCAGGCCTACTGATGGTATCATAGGCCTTGACCAGGTCAATAAAGCAGAGATGTAGGTCTTGTTGGAATTCCCTACACCTCTGCTGTAGCAGACGGACAGAAAATATGGCATCCGTGCAGGACCGCCCTTTCCTGAAACCGCACTGGGGCTCGGCAAGCCTCTCCTCAGCGTGCCTAGCAAGGCGATGTTGAATAAACCTTGCCAGGACCTTTCCCGGCACACTGAGGAGTGAGATGCCCCTGTAGTTACAGGCTGTGCGGTCCCCCTTCTTAAAGAGGGGCACCACCAGGGCATCTTTCCAATCCTGCGGAACCCATCCAGTGGTCCAGACTGTTGTTATGATGTCAGATAGAGCAGTCTGGGCACCAACGCCACCCTCCCTGAGCATTTCGCTTGGGGGATCATCTCTGCCCGGTGCCTTTCCTGGTCTCAGACTCTGGATCGCCTTCAGTACTTCCTCAACAGATGGCACCTCAGCCAGCCACTCACAGGGGGTGACCTCTTCCAATATTTGAGGCACTGCAGCCTCAGCAGGGTTATCACCACTTTGTGCCATGATGTTTTCCTGGCTGAGGGATTTTCCCTCCCCCAGGACCTCAAAGAAATGCTCAGCAAATCTGCAAACCTGTTCCTGGGGGTCGGAGATTGGATTACCGTTTTTTCCCTAATGATGGTAATAGGTGTGGCGCTGCAGGTAACTTTTTTGATGGAGTTAAATAATGATTTGTGATCGCGGGCCACTGAGGCAGACTCCATCTCTTCAGCAACCCGCGATCACCACCCATCCTTGCAGCGTCTTACGGCTCTCCGAACCTCCGAGCGAAGGCTGCGGTAAACCTCCTCATTCTCTGACGTGGGATGCTGTAGCCGATGAGAGTGGGCCTGTTGCTTTTTCTCAACTAACCTGAACACCTCCGTCAGCCAGGGTTTCTGGGGAGGTCTGGACTTTGCACCCAAAGCAGCCATTGCAACTGCATGAGTCACAGTCCTAAACCTCGCCCATTTACCCTCGCCATCAGGAGGAGTGGGGGACGATGCCAACCCCAGCTGCAAGCGATGATGAAATTCTCGCTTGCAACTTTCATCAGCTAACTGAGACCAGGCCACTTTAGGTTGGAATGGGGTCCTGGGTGTACACCTACCACCGGAGTGGAAGAATGGCAGGCTCATCTTACAGATGACTAATCAATGGTCAGAGGGCAGATCAGCTCCACGGTAGGTCCTGGTGTCAAGGATATGGGCTCGCATCCGCTGGTCTGTCACTATGTAGTCCAGCAGATGTTCTTGCTTGGACCCGGCATGCATCCATGATGTTGTGTGGATGCGCCGATGCCGGAAGAGCGTGTTGGTAATTACAAGCCCATGGGCTGCACACAAATCTAGCAGCCTCCTACCGTTGTTATTGAGCTAATCTGGCCCATGCCTTCCAATCACTCCAGACCAGGTGCCAGCTTCATGACCAACTCGGGCATTGAAGTCGCCCAACAAGATGACTCTGTCCCGAGTGGCCACTTTAGCCAGCACCTGTGACAGGAGGTCATAGAAGGCATCTGACTCATCGGCTTTGCCGGCATCCGTCCACGGATGTTCGTCTTCGGTAGGGGCATAAGTAACCACGACCACCACTCCTCGCCTCCGGTTGATGGGAAGGCGAGCCCAAAGTATCCTGGGGCTTACAGCTTCGCACACCTCACCGCCACGCTCCCACCCCCCCTTCATTCTTTTGTTCAGAAGAAGAGCCACACCCTGTTGTTTGGCAGTCTCCTTTCCCAAGTGGAGGACTGTCCACCCCTCATGGTGGCAGGAGCCAGAACTGGTCCACCGAACCTCCTGAATGCCACAGAGATCCAGGCGGTACCAGTCCAGCTCCCGACAAAGGAGTGGCAGCCTCTCCTCCGCAGTGAGCGTTCGAACATTCCACGTGGCCATCCATAGTGGTTTTTTGTTGTTTCTGGAGGATCCCCGAGGGTGAAGATTCAATCTCCTCGGCTCCGCCAATTGGGGTTTGGCCAGGAGACGTCATAGACGCCTGTCCCCCCGGGGCCTCCGGCACAAGCTTATTTGTTACATTTTTATGTTTCAATCGTTGTTTAGTGGTAATGAATTGAAGGTGGAGGGGTTACCAGCCTCTCACACCCATCCAGAGCCCCCGTTTAGCCACTGTGGTGGTCACAGTCGCCATGAGGGGAGAGGGCCAATTGGCATTGGCCCTCCCCCCACAGCACTGTCCACGATAGTGTTGCCCGTCCGGCACCGCAAGGAGGTAGGGGGTTGTTTTTGCCGGACAGAGAGAGAGAGACAACCAGAGAGAGAGAGAGACACACAGAGGAGAGACACAGAGAAAGACACACGCAGAGAGAGGCACACACAGAGACACAGAGAAACAACGCCTTTGTGCCGAGGTATTATATATAGAGAGAGAAGGGGGGTGGAGAGGCAGAGAAATTAGCATGTCAATGAGAGACAAGGGGGGATGAGATCTGCAGCAGGGGGCATGTAGAGCCAAGGGGGGGGATGGGATCTGCCGCAGGCGGAGGAAATTGGAAGCTTGAGAAATCAAACCTCGTAAACTTATAAATGTAATGCAATGCAACACAGAGAGTTGGCTAACACAACAGTTAACACTTTACCTGGTTGAATACGTTCTTCCAAAGATTGCTAAATTTGAAGTTACGGCAGGAGGAGAGAAATTGGAAGCTTGAGAAATCAAACCTCGTAAACTTATAAATGTAATGCAATGCAACACAGAGACTTGGCTAACACAACAGTTAACACTTTACCTGGTTGATTACGTTCTTCCAAAGATTGCATGTGTCTTTCTCTGCGTGTGTGTCTCTCTCTGCGTGTGTCTCTCTCTGCGTGTGTCTCTCCTCTGTGTTAGTCTCTCTCTGTGTTTCTCTCCGTGTCTCTCTCCGTGTCTGTGTTTGTCTCTCTCTCTGCATATGTGTCTCTCTCCGAGCTTGCATTTATATACAGTTCTCACCTGATGACGGTTGCTTGTGTTGTAATCGAAACGTTGTGTTCTATTATTTATTTTTTTGTCTTTCTACGTGACTTTACCGAAAGAACCAAAGAGTATTTGTATGCTTATTTATAATGATTTAACATCGTAAAAAATTTGAAAACACTGAAACACATATACACAAGACCTAAAAACATGTCATACAAGAATGTGCAAAAATAAGCTTTTTTATATAATGTCGTTGTCCGGCGTTTTTGAAAATCCAGTGCCCCTTTTCTCCCGAAGCCATGGGATAATCGATGATCTACTGTATCTCTGTAGTTTTTTTGTATTCCTGCAGCTCCCCGCTTTTCCCTGTGTCCCCTTGTCTGCCCGTGTCTCCCTGTGTATCCCTGAGTCTCCCTGTGACTCTGTATCTCAATGTGTCTCCCATGTCTGCGTTGCCCTGTCTCTCTGTCTCCGTGTGTGTGTGTGTCCTGTATCTCCTTTCGATAAAACAAGGGCCTTTTAAGGGACAGGTTCATTTATGGAAATGCGCTTCCCCGTGTCTGTGTCTTTGTAATGCACGTAGTTTTGCTCTGATATCTGTTTGGTTATGTTGGCTTCGATTTAAATCTTCCCCTCTCTATCCCCATGTCTCTCTCTCCCTTTTCCAGTGTTTCTCTTCCAGTGTTTCTCCCAGCGTGCATACTGGAAATCTGTGAAAAATAGATAAATAGCGCATCGGATTTCTTTAGAATTATAATCTTTTTCTCCCCCTCTGTTCTTTCCTTGTTTCTCTCTTTCTTTGTGCGTGTCTCTTACCCCCTCTCTCCCGCTCTCCCTCTTGTCTCCCAGGTCCCACGTGATGATGTGGTGGAGGTGTCATCCTCGCTGCTTCGTGCTCTTCGTCTCCGATATAAATACTCAATGCTCGCCATGCACAGCTTCTTTCCAACCACGGCCCAGGCCCTCCTCCTCAACAGCACCACAGCGGCCACCCCGGGGACGAGCCCACAGACTATCCCACCTCCGACTGCTACTGATACTATCCCGAGGAATATCCATCCCACTACTGCTTGCCCAGAGACTAGGCCAGATCATATCCTTCCTTCTGCTACTACTACTAGTTTGAAGACTGTTGCTACTGCTACTAGCCAGACTACTACTACTAGCCCAGAGACTATCCCTCCTGCTATTGCTACTACCCTGGAGACTATCCCTCCTACTACTGTTAAAGCGGAGAATACCACTAGTGCCGCTGCTAGCCCACAGCCTCTCACCTCTCCGGGTGCCAGCTCACAGCCTTACCAAGGCTCCTATAGACACCAGAACCTTCCGAGGCTGACCCCGGTGACTCCCCGACCCCCGTCACACTCACCTTTCCCGGCGATGGCGGGGGTGAGTGGAGGGGTTGGGGGAGGGGGGGACCCATATGGGGACTACGACGTGAGTGAGTTCCCGGAGGACTGCGGATTCACCGTAGAGATGAGGGGAGGAGTGGCTCACGTGTACGATGGGTGAGTGAGATGCGGATACTCACTGAGAAGAGACTCTCAGAGACACTCGTATATACATAATAATTCCATTTATATCACGCTTTTCATCAATCTCAAAGCGCTGTACAGAACACAGCAGCATACATGCACAGCATAAAGACAATGATAGGAATACATTTAAAAAATAAATTTACGAAATTAACTAAAAGTTTAATAAGTGAAAGCATATACGTCTTACCTATAAATGTCATTTTTGTCTGTCTCCGTCTGTGGACGCACACTTGCGAAGGATTTGGCTCGCAAACCGTGGGGTTTACGTTTAACAAAAAGTAGCCAGGTACCACGCCGTAAGCCCCGAGGTGAGCCAGTGCTATTCCGTTTTACCATCCGTCAACATTAAAGTAGTTAAATAAACAATTGAGTGCAATGTATCGTTATTTAATTATTTCCTCGCGCAGTGCTAAAGCTGCCCGGGGGTTGCCCCTAGTAACGCACACGCGCCATCGGTGGAGGGGGGGGGGATTTCTCATTCGCGTTCAAATTCCAACATACAACGCTGAGGTAAATTCTTTAGTGTCATGTCCTCTTCTCTCCCCCCCACCTCAATGTGTGCACTTACTAATATTAAAGCGCTTAGATAGTATTAATGTAGCGCGGGCAGGGGGGTGTTTGGGGGGGGCGGCTGTGGTAGCAGCCCAGTCCCCAGCTTGCCAAGGTGCCACCTCGGTCAGCTGGGCAATCTAGACGAGGCCGGGGGCTCTGCGTGGGACTAGGCCTCACCATGGCAATGTTAAGTGCTATTTTCTTGCTTTCACTAAACTCGCGTAGATAGAAAAGAAATATTTCTGAAATAAGTTTGGAAATATTAAAATAATGTTTGTGTGTAGACAACTAATATTTCAAATTTAAGTTGCTAAATATTACAATATTACTGTTTGTTTTTTTCGGTAAATTCACGTAGGTAAAAAATTAATTAAATCACGACGTTTCGGAAGCAACCCAAGCAACCGTCATCAGGTGTTGACTGCTCCATCAAAATTACTGAGGCGTGTGAATTGAGTTTATCTCGAGACAACGTATTTATATAGGTTGTTAGGGGGAGGGGAGGAGTCAAGAGGTCGGGGGGGGGGGGTGTGACAAGGAGTGTGGATGGTGGTGCACGGGATTAGCATGAGTTAAGCCGATAGATAACCATCTGTATTCTTTTTTGTTGTGCAGCGCCTGCCCGGCGAGTGATGGTGGCGTATCAGGCTGGGAATAGAACACCACTGGAAGAAATGGATATATCTGTACAATTATAAGGCAGCTAAAGTTTGACTTGGTTGATGACATCTTTCCAATGATTGCTTAATTTAAAACCATCCTCTCGGATGAAGTTGTGTCTATGTTTGTATATCTGGATGCTTCATGGACAAATCTTTGGTGGTAGCCAGGAGGTTTGCAGAGTACTTTGGTATCGGAGAAAACAATATCATGAGAACCCGCTGTGTTGAAACAATGATCAGCCACGGCCGAAGAATTAGTTCTGCCGTGTTTCAAATCTGATTTGTGCTCGCGAATTCGGTCATAAATATGTCGTTTCGTCTCCCCGATATAGCAGTCACCGCAGGTACAACTCAATTTGTAAACACAAATCAGATTTGGAGGGTGGGGTTGGCAATTTTTGGAAACCTTTTAAATCAACTATTTACCCCCTACTTTCTATTACTTTTTGAGTCATGGCTTCTGCAAGCCTCTTATAATTTTGTTGATAGGCAAATAAACAGACAAACTGGAAGCCAGTGCAGGGAGGCCAACACGGGTGTAATATGATGTAAAGAATGTGTTCTGGTTAACACCCTAGCAGCTGCACTGACTTACTGTGCAGATTAGGAGGGAAGTACATGTGTATAATGGGTGAGCGAGCCAGAGAATCACATGGAGGCACAGTTTTGCACAGAGACTTACAGAGATGTGTACAGATTTATATAATGGCTCCTGCTCTTTCCCCGCGTGTTTATGCCCACTCGTCCCTCTTTCTCCCCGTGCATCCCTCTCTCTCCCCTTCCCGTACATGTCTCTTCCCTTCTCTCCATGTAGGGATGAGCTGGTAGACCTTCCCTATGGTGACCTGGCAGCCTTTATTGCTGATATGAACATACTCATGGCTATGAGTATCAATGGACCCCTGTGAGTATATACTCACACATACAAAGATCCCCTGGATAGCTTGAACAGACTGTTGGGGCAAGTGCATCTATGATGGCCGACATGGCACACGAGGGGGTGGGTGGCCAGCAGCATGCCTTCCTATCGGCGATGTTTACATACCTTGCCAGATACTCGTTTGAGGCTGAGTCACTGGTGTTAGCCAAGAGTGGGAATCGAACTTGGGTCCCCGGATTCGTAGCGCAGTGCATAAACCATTGCGCAACCACTCCCCATTAATGCACACAACAGTCGCCTCCACAGAAGGTCATCTTGACACCGCTGGTGCCAATATCAATAAGTTCGATCAGCTTCACATCCTGTACCACATCATCCCATCTCTTCTCCAGCCCGTGCCATGCTCATGTAGCCCCCTCTATCCGGCCGCACAAGCTGCTTGTGGCATTGTATGTGGGCTACATGACCCAGCCAGCACAACCTCGCCTGCGTGAATATTTCAAGCTGGTGCAGATGTTAGTTTTAAATAGTAATGTTACTACTGACGCTCTTACTACTTTTGTTGCTGCTGATAATGTTGCTGATAATGATATGATATTTAATCTACCCAGGAAATCCTTCTGTTATCGTCGCCTGCAATTCCTATCGGCAAAATTTCAGATGCATGCACTGCTAAACGAGATGAAGGAACTATCGGCACAGAAGAGAGTTCCTCATAGAGACTTCTACAACATACGCAAGGTACTCGGAGACTCCAAGACAATTACAGAGACACATACTCATCCAGAGACTCGCAGACTTATTCAGATAAGCTCAGATTCAATAGACCCACATGACTCACTCATAGACTAATGGGCTCCCTCAGGAGTCGCACAGACTCGCACAGATACACTCACTCATAGGGACTCGCAGTTCCTTACTCCAAGGTCTCTGCAAGTCTGTGTCTCAGTTTGTTTCTGTTTAAGTTTGTATCTGCGTGTCTGTGTCTCTTTGTTTATCTCTGCATTTGGTTGTGTGTGGTTAGTATTGAATAACTGTTATATATAACTCTCGAGTCGCCCATGGTGTCATGGGTGACTCAGCTGGGAATGTTTTCTCCTCACTGTAAGTTTAGGCATGAGTTGTGTCTGGGTGTGTGCAGTGCTCTGTGGCTTATCGGCAACAGTTTCCCCTTTCCATTGTCTCTGTGATTGTGAGTAGCGGTAGTGCAACGCAGTGACCCGTGTTCAATTCCCGCTCATAGCCAACACCAGTGACTATTACAGGAACCGGTCCTGTGCCTCCCCTAGGTCGACCCAGTCTCGAATGCGTGCCTGGTGCAGTGTGTAAACATCGCCACTGGGGAGACAAAGGCAGCCGGGGGTGGTGCTGGCCAACCACTCCCTCGTGTGCAGTGACATGGCTCATAGGTGCTTGCTAACAGCACTTGCCCCAACAATCTGTTAAGGCTATACTGAGGATATTTGTCTTGTTTTGTGTTTATTTCAATTGGATGGGTGAGGTGTGGTGGCGTGCAGTATGTTGGGGTACAGTAGTCTATGATTGGTGTTGTAGTTTGTGGTGTGGTTTGGTGTGTATTGTGTGGCACAGTGTATGGGAGTATGACTTGACGCAGTGTGAGGGTAAGTGCAGTGGGGTTGACCTGAGTAGGTGGGGGTGGGTGTGAATGGGGCCGGGCGTGTTGGGGTGGAGGTGAGGATGACGCGAGTGTGATTAGGGGGGTGTATATGTCTCTACATTTGTCTTTGCATGTAACAAGATAAGTGTGTACCGAGGTGCTGATAACCGCTGCACTTAGAATAAATTTACATCAGTAACTATGGTTGAAACACCCATTTAAGCTTGTGCTTGGAGGCCTCAGGGGGAAGAGGCATCAATGACGACTTCTAGAAAAACGGCATTTGGTGGAGCCAAACTTTACCGATCCTCGAGGAATTTTTAAAAAATACACTTCAGGAAAACGCTGAGGTTGGCTATGTGGAATGTCCGAACGCTTACTTTAGAGGAGAGGCAGAGGAGCGACGCTCACAATTACGAGCAGAGTGCCGAGCGTCTAAAACACAGAGTTGGCACATTGGGGAACACAGTTGGTGCATCTGCCAGTCATCTCAGTGAACCCATGGCACCTGGGTATGTTCGGTATCCTGCCATCGGCCCTTCGACACTTCACGTGGCCTTAAAGTGCACCTAGCATGTCACAAGTGCCGTGGTGACGTCACTACCACCTAGTGGTGAATGGCAGTTATAATAATCAGGCACATTGTCTATATCTTTGTTTCTGTGTGTCTCTGTGGCTTTAGGTGGACACACATATCCACGCCTCATCTTGTATGAATCAAAAACATTTGCTGAGGTTCATAAAGAGGGCAGTGAAGAGGGAAAGCGACGAGGTGGTGCACAGAGACCAGGGGAAAGAGCAGACGCTCAAACAGGTACCACACATCAACACGCACACCTGGCCCAACCACTGCTAACCATATAATAATACAGCAAGCTTCTCTACACACACATACCACACACTGAAGCATATACAGTACCTTATAACCCTACATTATACAACAACAGCAACCGCCATTTGCCACTAAATGGTGGTGACGTCACCACTGTGCTTGTGCCAGGCTATGCGCACGTTGAGGCCACCTGAAGTGTCGAATGCCCGCGCTGGCAGGAGGTCACGGGGCAGACCCAGGTGCCACGTGTCAACTGACTGAGATGACTTGCCAATGCACCAGCTGCTCCTTATGGCGGTACCACGGGGTACCAAATAATACAAAATGGCCGAGGCAATTAAATATTTTATTTCTGGGACACTATTTTTTCCAGGGGTGTACTTAACTCCGCGTTCAATCCAAAATCAGTGCTACTCCGTGATGTCGAAACGCCAAACAGCATAAAATTATCCGTTCTCGAAAAATTAATAGTTGCATCGTGTACAGCTCGTCGAGATGAGTCGAATGCCGCATCGCCGACCATCAACAGACAAAAAATGACTGCATCACATACATTATGCGAGTGCCGGGGTACTATGGAACCCTGGGGTACCGCCCCCTACTATGCCAACTTGCTGTGTTTTAGCCGCCCGGCGCTCTGCTCATTGCGAGCATCGCTCATCTGCCCTCCGTTGTTGTTGGAGGTCGACTGCTTCCAACTGCCCAGTAGCGTCTTTCACGAGCCTCCTCCACAGAGGCCGATCTTGACACCGCTGGTACCAGTCATCGGCAGGTCCACTCAGCTTCACATCCTCTTGTACCACATCACTCCATCTCTGCTCTAGCCTGTGCTCTGCCCGTTTAGCCCCCTCTATCTGGCCGAACAAAAGCTGTTTAGGCATGCAGTGGCTGGGCATGCGGGCTACATGACCCAGCCAACGCAGCCTTGCCTGCCGGAGGAGCTTACCGATGGGACTTTGCCCAGATCTTTCAAGGATTTGTGAGCTCACACAATCCAGCCTGGTTAAACCCAGGATGGATCGTAGGCAGGCCAGCCTAATTGTTTCAAACTGGCGAAGATGTTCCATTAGGGGGTCCACGATTCCCAAGCAGGAAGGGCATGACTAGCCAAGAACACCTGAAGCTTCGTATGGAGCGATAGACGAGGTAGCTTTCACACAGTGTTACGCAACCAATGAAAAGATAATGCCGCTCAACTAATTCAGAGTGTGACCTCTGCTGTCAAACCGGAGCCGGTCATGAGCACACTGCCCAGGTTTGGGAAACTTTCCACTCTCTCCTCAACTGCCCATCACCAATTGGGAGTTGTGGGGGTGGAGTGACTGATGGTACAAAATACCCAGGCAGGTGCTTAGTTTGGTGGGGCTGATAGTAAGGCCCCACCTCTTAGTGGCACGCTCCAGGTTCAGCAGCAGCATCTCCAACTCCTCCTCTGAGTGAGCAGCAATTACCAGATCATCGGCAAACACAACATCGTTGACCAATAGGGAGCAATTCTTGACCGCACCCGGGCATCGATCAGCCTCCCATTGTATCTGTATCAGATGGAAATTCCTCCAGTACAGCCATCGAAGGCTTCACAAACTACGTGGTAGAAATAGATGTTAAATAATGTGGAAGCCAGAGGACATCCCTGTCACACCCCAAGGTGAACAGGGAAGGGCTCTGACTCCCAGCCACATAGTTTTACCCAGGTCCACTCACCATCATGAAGGTCCTTAATGATTGTGAACAAAGAGTCAGGGACTTTGACACTACGAAGAACAACCCAGAGTTCAGGCCTACTTGGTATCATCGGCCTTGACCAGGTCAATAAAGCAGAGATGTAGGTTTTGTTGGAATTTTGTACACCTCCGCTGTAGCAGGTCTGGACCGTGTACCCAATGCAGCCATTGCAGCTGCATGAGCCACAGTCCTAAACCTCGCCCATTTCCCCTCGACATCAGGGAGGAGTGGGGGACGATGCCAACCCCAGCCGCAAGCGATAATGAAATTCTCGCTTGCAACTTTCATCAACTAGCTGAGACCAGGCCACTATGGGTTTCAATGGGGTCCTGGGTGTACACCCACCACCGGAGTGGAAGAAGGGCCGGCGCTTCTTACAGATGACAAGTTGATAGTCAGTGCACGGATCAGCTCCACGGTAAATCCTGGTGTCAAGGACATGGGCCCGCATCCGCTGTTCCGTCACGAAATAGTCCAGCAGATGTTCTTGCTTGAACCCCGCATGCATCCATGATGTGTGGATGCGTCCATGCCGGAACAGCATGTTGGTAATTACAAGCCCATGGGCTGCACACACATCTAGCAGCCTCCTACCATTGTTATTGAGCTGATCTGGCCCATGCCTTCCAATCACTCCAGACCAGGTGCCAGCATCATGACCAACTCGGGCAATAAAGTCACCCAACAAGATGACTCTATTCCGAGGGGCCATTTTAGCTAGCACCTGTGACAGGAGGTCATAGAAGGCATCTGACTTATCGGCCTTGCCTGCATCCCTCCACTGATGTTCATCTTCGGTCGGGGCATAAGTAACCAGGACCATCACTCCTCGCCTCTGATAGGAAAGCGAGCCCCAAGTAGCCTGGGCTTACAGCTTCCCACACCTCACGGCCATGCTCCCACGCCCCCTTCATTCTTTTGTTCAGAAGAAGAGCCACTCCCTGTTGTTTGGCAGTCTCCTACCCCGAGTAGAGGACTGTCCACCCCTCATGGTGGCAGGAGCCAGAGCCGGTCCACCGGACCTCCTGAATACCACAGAGATCCAGGCGGTACCAGTTCAGCTCCCGACAGAGGAGTGGTAGCCTCTACTCCGCAGTGAGCATTCGAACATTCCACGTGACCACCCGCAGTGGCTTTTTGCTGTTTCTGGAGGAACCCCGAGGGTGAGGATTCAATCTCCTGGCTCCGTCAAATGGGGTTTAGCCAGGAGATGTCATGGACACCAGTCCACCCGGGACCTCCGGCACAAGCTTAGTTAGATATGTTTGTCGTGGTTTAGCGGTACTTGGATTGAAGGTGGAGGGGTTACCAGCCCCTCGCACCCATCCAGAGCCCCCTTTGGCTGCTGTGGTGGCTACAAATGCCATGAGGTGAATAGCCAATCGAAATTTGCCCTCCCCCCATGGCACTGCTCACCACAGAGGAGGTAGGGGGTTGTTTTGCCGAACTACATTATATCTATTATACAATACGCTATATCAGCTACAATACAGTATAGGAATCCCCTACTATAAGTTGACGCATTTTGTGGTTTCACATATACGTTACTGATGAATTGGGGAACATATTTCCTAATAACTGTAATATTTTGGATATGCGTAAAAAAACAGTTTTTTTGCGCATTTTTTTAAACAAAGAACGCACGCGGTGAAAACAGACTAATCTGCAATGTGATACTATACTATACGCGCATCGCATGTTTTACGTGGGGGGAGGGGAGCCCTGTACGTGCTACTCGCTGTAACAGGACCAAATTAATTTGTGACAATGATAATTTGTGTGAATTTACAGGGGAAGCCAGTGGTCATCCATGGATGGATTAGCAGCCCAAAAATGCCACCAATGGGCTTTTTTATACACTAATTGTGACAGGAATCCAGTACTGATTTTAAAAAAATCCTCTGCTAGATCAATGCTTAATCACATAGACAGATGGATCATTTTGCTGCTGAAAAATCGTATTTGGGCAAAGTCACGCCCAATTATTTCATATGTACACTACGTTATACGCTACGTAATATACATTACACTCTACACATCTATTTCACTCCATTATTCACATTGATATGGACAATTAGCCCAGCCATTACTATCTCAACAGTAACTCTATGCACAGTAATTTATTGTCACTCTTCGCTTAATGTCGGGGGTACGTTCCCGGTAAATGCAACAACGTTAAGTGAAACATTTTCCTATAAGAAACAACGTAAATAGGGGATGTTATGTCCTTGGGAAATTTCCTATCACACTTAAGAAAATAATAAACTTTTTTCACGTATAAAAAACTAATAATAACACTGGTGATTAAATGGAGCTATGAGTAGAGAAATGGTTAGGTTAACACCATTGATGCTTGTGGAGTGAGGTGTTGGAGCCACAGGGACACATCAAATGATTGTTGCCCAATTTCTTCTTTTATAGGTCGAGTTGCTTGTAGCATTGCAAAGTATCAGTTGTTTTCCTGCACACTTAAGAACTGCCCTCTCTGCTTGCATCATCTTCACTAAAAATCTCCCATGCCTTGATTAATATGTGGCAGATTTGAAAGTTGCAATGGCACCCTAATTCACCACTTCATGGCTTTGGCTGGATCACCAGTAAACTGAGAGGAATGTGGCGTTGATTTTTATTTTAAATCCACACCGATAACAGGCGCTCCATATCACCGGCTGCAAAGCGGCGTAATGATTCTAATTTGCTTTTCAGTATGATTACCTTCCTACACATCGTGCCGCTTGAAGCAGTAGGATCACTTCTTGGTCTTTCAACACTCGTGTTGAAAACAGGGTGGGTGAGTTGGTGGCCAGCACCAAAGACAAAGATCTCCCTGTAGCCCTTAGCAGACTATTGGAGCAAGTGCTGTTAGCAAGTAGCACCTGTGAAGGATGGCAGGGCACACGAGGGGATGGGTGGCCAGCACCACACATGCCCAGTCACCTTTGTCTCCCAAGTGTCTACGTTTAATACACACCACACCAGGTATTAATTTGGGGCTGAGTCGACTTAGAGGAGGCCCAGGACCTGGTTCAATTAATCGCTGCCACTAGTGTTGGTAGGAGTGGCTGTGAGCAGCAACCAAACTCAGGTCTGCCAGGTTTGTAGCGCAGTGCACTAACCACTGCACCACTGCTCCCCACTCACTCTCACTCGCAACTATAACAACAACCGGCGTTCTCTTAAGTGGCAATGACGTCGCCACAGTCAACTAAGATGATGGTATGCTGCCACGTGCTGTATCATTCTGCGTACTGTATCATTCCGCGTACTGTATCATACCGCTCACCTGTGCAGCCCAAGAAGACTTCCCATACAGTATGGCCGCGTAGAGATGTACTGTGTCGGTAGGGTTCGTTGTCTAGCAACGTACATGGTGCGCAGCCGCCTTGCTCTCCACTGTGGAAAGTAGTTGCCCACCGCCAGTGACGTAATAGCGATACCACGCGACGTTAGATACATACGTGAGTAGTGATTCATTGGCGACGTTGCAGCGATACAACGTTAAATGGGCCGACGTTAAGCGAGGAGTGACAAAGACTACAAACAGTAACACAGCACTTTTTGCTGATGATGAAGCTGATGATGCTGATGTTTATAATACTGTTGCTGCTGCTGATGATGATTCTGATTTAGGTGTTTGAAGACCTCAATCTGACTGCATTCGATCTCAGCGTGGACATGTTGGATGTGCATGCGGTAATACCGACTTGCAGATGCACAGACTTGCATACACCTAATATTTTCACAAAGGCTAACAGTCTGTCATAGAGCTGGTAGAGACACAGACTCGCGCTTCTACTCACACTGTTCACTCATCAATTTACGCAATTTTAATTGTACTGTTTCTTTCTGGGCACTATGTGTGTGTGTGTGATGTCTCAGGACAGGAACACATTTCACCGGTTTGATAAGTTCAATGCCAAGTACAACCCTGTGGGGGAGTCGATCCTCAGGGAGATTTTCATCAAGACTGACAACTGCATCGGAGGGAGATACTTTGCCCACATAATCAAGGTGAGAGAGATGCACGGGAGATGAGAAAAAGGGGATACAAGGAGTAAAGGAGAGGAGATAGAGTAAGAGATAAGAAGAGGCACGGAGAAATGGAGAGATACACCGGGGAAGGGACATGGGCATAGGGAAGAGATAAAATGGGGAGGAGAGATACAGGAAGATAGAGAGAGAAATGAAGAGGAAGTTGATATCGAGGGAGGAGGGAAAGGATGAGTGAGGGAGGCAGAAGGCAAAAGGGAGACCGAGAAAGGGAGAAGTTAGGAGGAATAGATGGTGAGAGCGATGGAGACAGGAAAAGATGGAGTAGAAGGAAGAAGAGACACACATGGAGAGGGGGAGATATGGGGTGAGATGGGAAGTGTCATCAAAAAAACACAAAGTGATGTCATTCACCATCTCTGCCATCTAAAGGTCACATGACTCGAAGTGCTGTCTCCCCCCCCCCCCTTTACAGGAAGTAATGTCAGACCTGGAGGAGAGCAAGTACCAGAATGCCGAGCTGCGTCTCTCCATATATGGGCGTGAGAGGGGCGAGTGGGAGGGACTGGCGAAGTGGGCAGTGACTCACCGAGTCTACTCCCACAATGTGCGCTGGCTCATCCAGATCCCTCGCCTATAGTGAGTGAGCTTCCTGGTTACGGGGCCCCTCCAAAGCAAGGAAAATGTATATAGGGGATCCACACAAATTGGGCGCCTCACATAGTGTCCCTTTAATAAATACAGCATATTTTGTGAGCAAACACAGAAATAATAATAAACACAATTTATAAGGCAATCATATTTTGTGAATGGGACACAATGATTTATTGAGAAGTTTAACAGACTTTCGCGACCAATATTATTCACAATATAGGTTTTCTGGGGTTAGATTGCGCAAATATAAATGTGTCGTTAAGCCCGCCACCACTCGACACAGCCAATTCATAAGGTTTGTCACGTAAACAAAACGTGCAAATTAGTTACTACTTTAGCAGACTGGTGTGTTGGAGAGTAACCCACAACATTTACGATTCAAGTACCATTACGTTTTTCTGGGAATTACAACCAGCTTCATCAGCTGACTGCCAGAATTGTGGAGAAATCCTCCTCCTGTTTTTCGGTCTTTTGGTTGAGAACTCAGAGGCTTGGAACCAGAGATCAAAGTCCATCGTACGCAGCCTAAAGAGCTGAGAGCCCGACAGGTGACCCTTGAGCTGTTGCTTGCAGGTGGATGGTGGTGTTTGGATGTGGCGTGGGCGTGTTTGCATTGGGAGGGAGTCCCAGATGGCCGGTGCAGCTATGGAGAAATGCTGCTCAGCCAAAATAGCCTTAGTTCTTGGTACAAGATGAGTACAATGTTTGACGAAATTCATTGGAGGAATGGGTTTTTGTATGGTCATTGGAGCCAGAATTGGAATCAGTATGGTGGGAGACCTTGAATATGAGCCCGATGGCACAGCAATTTTTTTACTGTGTTCCTGATGCTATGGAGAGCCGGTGCAGAGTTCTTAGCGTAGCCATGGAAGACACATGGCCATGCCTCCTAATGATGAGAACAGCGGTGACAGTTTGTTTCCAAGCTGTTGTAGTTTTCTGAGGTGTTTTTTTCCCGAAAAGTTCCCGAGGTAAGGATGGCCGTAATCAAGTGAGAGCCAACGATACAACAAGCCCCCCGAGTGCTTGCAGCGGCCGAAGTCAACGTTGGGGCGGATGTGCCGCCACGATGGCCTGAGACGGTGATTACGTGTCTCTTTATTTTGCGTTCAGGACATGTTTGTCAATGGAGAAGGAGGAGTCAAGGTGATGCCGAGGATTTTTCAGATGATTTGAGAGGCTAAATGTGGAGCCAGCGATTAGTAGAGTTTGAGGGAACGACACCCGTGTTGGACCATAGCCTGGTGCCTTGGAAAAAGAGCCCACGGACATGTCCAGGTTAAATTGGTGATTTAACCGATACCAGTGCTGTAAGAGGTATAACTCGCAAGGTTAAGTGGACCCAGGTCTGAGGTTGGAGTGGCTGTGATCATTAATTCTGGGACTTTTGATGAGGCGACTGATTGGGAAGATGTAGGCCGAGAAAAGTAAACGAACCAAGGACGGATCCCTGAGGGACACCTGCGTTGGGTTTGACGACTGGGATTGAGGACTTGCCAACCTTGACGTAGAACCTTATGTCAGAGAGGTAAGATGCAAGCCACTGTGGAGCTGTGGCATTGATAGTGAAGTTAGATTCTAAGCTTTGAATCAAAATCTGATTTAAAGCGTCGAAGGCGACAGAAATGTCAAGGCTGATGACAGAAACAGGACGAGTGTGCTGGGTGGCAGGCAGACTGAAGAGGGCAATAGTTGAGGGTTGAAGTGATGTCATCTTTGAATCGGACAAGTGTGAGGCACTTAAGTTTGGAGATGGATGATACATTTTTGATGGGGTGGTAGTTTTAAGGGTCATCAGGGTCTGAGTCAGGTTCTTAATTGGAGGTGTCACTTGGCTCAATGTATGTAAGAGAGGGGAAAACACTCGTCTGGAAGGAGGAATTGGCAAATTGAAAAACTATCATTACCAATTTGTTAGTGCACTGCCTAAAAAAGTTAATGGTAAGATATTTAGGGGAGAAGTTTTAGTCCGGGTGTTGTCGATTAGATTGAGAACTTCTAGGCATATAACAGGTGAATTCGATGAGAGAATAAAATGAGGGAGGGAAAGAAGTAATGGCTGGGGTTTGATCTTGACAGACCGAAAGAGACATCGTGATGGTGTAGGCGATGCTGGTGAGTTTTGTCAAGAAAGCGACTATACTTAAAAGGAAGCGAAGATTCCGGTGATCACACACGGTCACCATTTATCAGCGATGGAGAATTGGCGTGAAGTATAGAGCAGAGTTGATGTGGGTCAGTTGGCCGCAGAGATGTGATCGTTTGTGTGAAGTGCGCCAGGCCACAATGAGCTTTGTGGGTGGTGGCTCTACAGGCGAGGCGATGTGTAGCATGATCAGCTTTGAAACCAGAGCACACCCAGATTGTTTCTAGTAGTCGAAGTCTGCTGCGTTTTGATGCAACAGCTGTTTCTGCTGTTGCTGCTGTTGCAGAAAGCCACCAGTGGTCATGAGGTGGAGCCAGCTGCTTAAAAGTTTTATGGTTGCTAAAGTGTCCAAGGTGAGGTTCCAATTGGTCGCTGGAGATGGTGGCATTGTCTGATGTTAAAGAGGAGGCGGAGGTGAGAAGAAGATTCGGCATGGTGAGGTTTAAGGAGCCAAGATTGCGAGAGTTGTCAGTGATTGTTGGGGGGTAACTGGGCAATAAATGGTAATAATGGAGTTATGAGACTGGGACAATTCCTCATAGTTGGACTTGACAATGGGATACGTGCATGATTATTATATGATGCTGATGACAGACTTGTCTCTCCTTTGTCACCCTATGTCTCTCACCCCATGTCTTCCTTTCTGCCCATGCCTCTGTGCAGTGATGTGTACCGCAGTCGGAATCATCTGGAGAGTTTTGAGGAGATGCTGGGAAACATTTTCCTCCCTCTCTTTGAGGTGTCGATTGCTCCACAGAGGCACCCGGAGCTGCACCTCTTTCTCCAGCACGTACGTGCCTCCCCACATCTTCTCACGTCTCCCGGCGTCTACCCGTATCTCTACCTCTCCATGTATCCCTGTCTCTCCCTCTCTTTCCCCATGTCTTGCCTTGTCTCTCCATATCTCCCCTTTCGCCGTTTTTTCGTGTATCTTTCCGTGTCTCCCCTTGTCTGTATCCTGGTGTGTCTCCGTGTCTCGTTGCATCTCCCCGTGTCATCTTTCTGCCTTCCTCTCTCATATCACGTCTTCCCCCCTCGCCCTATATGTCCCAGTGTGTTTCCGGTGTCTCCCTGTATAGTTTCGGGTCTCTCCATATATTTCAGTGTGTCTCCTAGTTACTGGATTTTACAGTGTGGACTTGGGGCCCCAATGTCTCATTGTGTCCCCATGTTCTGCCCGTTCAACACAGGACTATTGAATGTGGTCTGCTGTATGGAAATTGCTGGTAATTCACAAGATAATTAGCATTAACATGTAGGTTATTGTAGTCAATAAATTGATATGTTGATTGTTATCTTAGGCCTTGTGGTAGTTTTATGCCAAAATTCTTGTCACTCACCCTCCACCACCCAACGAGATTGTCACATTTCCAAAGATATTATTTGTACTTTCCGATGTATTGATCAAATTATGACCAATACAACTCCTCACCGGTGGCTGAATACTTTCGATGGCTTAATGTAACATCAGCATATGGCGACATTTCAATCAAACTGCTTAGAGCTTTTAAAAGTAAATTAAACTCTAACATGGAGTGGCTGCTTCAGCTGACTCTGCTCTCCGGCTATGACATCAATAACTGCGAAGCATTAGTCATTTATTTGTAATTTGGGTATAGATAATTTTAATGTCATTATACGCGTGCAGTTTGTCCAATTTGCGGATTAACCGTGCACTTGAGATTTTGATATTAATAACTCATGGATTTTCCCTTGAGCCCAAATTAATAATCTAAAAACAGTTATACATTGTTATTTTTGGAAATGTTTATGACAAATCATAAGTGAATCTTAATTTTAGAACTTTCGTGACTGCATGCTATTATTTAATTTAATTTATTATTTTATCTTTAGACGTGACTTAACCGAAAGAACCAAATAATAAATCATAAGTGCTTAAACCGAACAAATATTTGCTCCGGTTAATCCGAAATCCACGTGATTGCTGCTACAGTAGAGTAGTTGCATACCTTTACAACAGTGGGCAGAGTTTGTTTGATTTTGATTGGCATGGCTCTGCTATCCACTTAGTGGGCCAAGTCTTCTGCGCGGGAGCAGGAAAGTGTTATTACTGAGCACGTGCATCGATCGATCGATCGTTAGTATTCATTTTAAATCAAAAGAGTAACAATCAAAATCATCAGTTGTGCTTCATTTTGAGTGATTTATCCGATCAGTTATTTTGTGAGTTTTCATTTATATGTAGCGACATATTGAACGCTCTATGTAACCGCCGCTACTTATGGCCTATAGTAACGGCCTTGGGTCAACAGGGGGCAGAAGTGAGGCCGTTGGGCCAAGGTTAACCCCAATGTAGCTCTGGACCAGGGGTACAGACCCCAGACCCCCGAGAGGGGCGCTGGGGGATAACATCATGTTCCAGGCCCCTCCGGACGGTTTCAGAAGGGAGGAGTGGCCAGGGCGGAGTAAGCCAGAAGCCGGTATAAAAGCCGGTCCCCTGAACGGGACCGGCTGTCGTCGTTCACCTGAAGACTCAAGAGCCACCCTGGAGTTGCCACCTTGAAGACCCGAAGCGAAGAGCCCAAAGGACTGAACCCAAACCTCTGGCTAGGGTCGGGCAAAAGCTTAACCAGTGAAGAGGCTAGAGCATAACCAGTGTTCGGCAGGCTAGCCGGAGGAAATACCTCCCTAAGTATCTGGTGGAAGGGGCCGTACCCCTTTTTGTTATTGTTATGTTATAATAAACGTGTTGCCTCCAGACGAGAGAAGTCTCCGCAAGTTTTATACTCACGACATATACATTTTAGTGGTTTTTGGAATCGAGATCCATGGAAAATGAATATATTTAGATTTTCCACGATTTTTTATTATCCGCGGCCATCCTCCTTGTCTACTATATTTAGAAATACATTTAATTGATTTTCAAAGAAGACTATTGAAACGGATTTCTTAAAATAACAAAAAAACTATAAGAGTAGGTCTTCTTGGTTCATTCGGTAAAGTCACGTAGAAGGGAAATAATAAAATAATAAAAACAAACATAATAAAATACAATTCTCACGACGTTTCGGCCACAACGCAAGCAGCCGTCCTCAGGTGAAGAACAGGTCTGTTGGAAAGACAGCGACTGAATGAACACCACCAAGCTTGGCAGCGTATATTTAAGCTGGGTTAGAGGAGGAAGGGCGCCTTGACAAAGGAATTTGCATATCAACAGAGGAATTTAGCATATTTATGAAAAATGCAAATATGGGATTAGTCACTACTTGTGGAATGTGTAAGAGAAAGAACCAAGAAGATGAATCCTTGCAGTCACGAAGCTTTAAATAAAAAAATAAGAATAGGCTTTACCCTTTCTGGCAATAAAGCAGGAGATGTTAAAATGTTCAAACACCAAATAGATACCTATTGCACAGCATCAAGTCTATATTAACTACACATACTTGTGGAAAACCAAGCAAACAAACATGCTCTGATAATATATACATTGTCTTTGAAACGGATTGGCCTACACTAGAGGCAGCCTTCTTTATGGCCTTGCCTCACCAGTGCCAGACTAATTTTCTTTCAATAGCGCATACTTGTCAACTCATACGGTTTACCCGTAATTTTATACCGGGAAATTAAGTTTTCAGGCCTATACAGCGTACAGCCGTTTAAATATGAGCAAATGTTTTTTTTCTCCCTTGTGATGGGACATTTTCAGATGAACTTTGAGATTTATAAAGGCACGGGGTAACCAATAAGGTCTGAATTGGTCTATAATAAGGTAGGCACTGATAAAGGGTTGACAGATATGATAACGTATCCCACTACTATTTCTGTCCTCGTCCTTAAAACCCTAACCATCCTCCCCCTTCCCGTTCTAAACCTCGCCCCTCCCTTTTCCTGTCCTCACGCTTCCTTGCCATTCCTTCACTCAAATCCCATCCCTTTTCCCCATCATACTAATGTACAAATGTTTTATTCTTGTAAAGTGCTTTGACTCAAGCGTGAAATAAAATCCTAAAAATATAAGATACTGGAAAAAAGGTCCCAATAGATTACAATTATAATAGCCCAGAAATGTCCATAACGTGCGTTACGTCACTCCACATGCCACCCCCCCCCCCCCCCGTCATTAATAATAAAATAATGAGCGGGTGGATTTTCACACTCAAGCGGAAGAAGGTCGAGCGGAAAGATATTTTAACGCAAATTCGCTTTAAATTGTACGCTCCTTTATTGCAAGTTAATCAAATAAATAATTATACGCAGCAACACAGTGTATTTGGTGTTTTTATTTATTTCTTCAGCACTTGAAACAAAAGGTAAGTAATTTTTTTGCTTCTAAACTCTTTGGTTCTTTATACCTACGTGACTTTACCGAAAGAACCAAAGAGTTTGGATTCCTTTCGATTTAAAGCTTTCTTGACTGCAGGGATTCATCTTCTTGGTTCTTTCGGTAAAGTCACGTAGAAGGGAAATAATAAAATAATAAAAATAAAACCTAATAAAATACATTGTTTTATTTTTATTATTTTTTTCGGTAAAGTCACATAGAAGGGAAATAATAACATAATAAAAAGAAAACAATAAAATACATAATGTTTTATTTTTATTATTTCCCTTCTACGTGACTTTACCGAAAGAACCAAGAAGAAGTATGGATTCCTGCGGTCACGAAAGCTTAAAATCAAGATTTTGCTTCTAAATTATGATAAAATAGATACATGTCTCCGTCATTTTTCAGACATTGTATCAATTTTAAATTGAATACAACCCCAGCGAGTGAAATCACAACCCCAGCGAGTGAAATCACAAGAAAACGTAAATGTACATCTTAAATATTACAGCTTCTGTCCTAGGAAGGCCAAAAGGCTAATTTAAGGTCAGTCACATGAAGTGAGGTCTTTTATGACAGAGTTTGTGCAAGCATCACTGCCATTAATACAGTACTACAGTGAAATGCAGTGTAGTGTTTGATGACATTCTTTCGTGCAAGATTCACTGCCATTAAATGTATTCACGATACTATTATACTGTGCTCAATTTTATCAGAAATATTACAGCTTCTGTCCTAGGACGTGCAAAAGGCTAGTTTTGAAATAATATCTTAAAATGTGACAATCTGGTTGGGTGATTGAGGATGAGTGACTAGAACTTTGATTTTGATTTAAAGCTTTCGTGACTGCAGGGATTCATCTTCTTGGTTCTTTCGGTAAAGTCACGTAGAAGGGAAGTAATAAAATAATAAAAAATAATAAAAATAAAACATAATAAAATTATTCTCACGACGTTTCGGCCACAACGCAAGCAGCCGTCCTCAGGTGGACCTGGTTTTCACCTGAGGACGGCTGCTTGCGTTGTGGCCGAAACGTCGTGAGAATAATTTTATTATGTTTTATTTTTATTATTTTTTATTATTTTATTACTTCCCTTCTACGTGACTTTACCGAAAGAACCAAGAAGATAGAACTTTGATGTAACATTTCCATGGGGTTTAACTCAAAAATAAATACGGATCAAGTTTAAAGCGGTTAGATGTAGCTGAAACCTGGATAGCATCACATGCGCCAAATGCGGTGAAGATGGACACCACACTCCATGTGTGCTTTCCGAGGTTCTTCAATTTGTGAAGTAGTTCCAGTCAGGTTATGTCTTATCACAACTCTGGCTGTCACCTGATGAGGCTGGTTGTAATTACCGGCAAAATGTCATACTCTTAATTGTAAATGTTGTAGGTTTACTCTCTAACACACGAGTGTGCTGAACTAGTAACGAATAGGCATGTTTTGTTTAGGTGACAAACCTTACTAATTGGCTGTGTCGGGTGGTGGCGGGTTTAACAAAACATTTAAACGTATGCAATCTAACCCAAAAGCCTCCATTATGGGTCTTTTAACTTGTACTTTATCTTCAACACAATATACAACCTACAGCACATACCAACTTGTGGGAATTACTCTGTTTAGGCACCCTGAGCTCTATCTTGCCAGCTCCCCTTGTCCACTTCTCCACCCTTCTCCAACTTTCTCTGTCTCTCCACCAATCCCCATCACCTCCCATAACTGTCCTCTGACTCCCCCATGTATATTTCACTTCTCCCATCCATGATTTTTTCATATTAATCTCTCCAATCTGATTTGAAGTGTTTCACCACCGTAAAATCAGACTGTGTGTTCACACGTCAGCTCTCCATGTGACGGGTCGCCAATGGGAATTGAGCACTCCTTATTTCAACTCAGTTCAATAGATTCAGTGAGTGTCGATTTGTTGTTTATTCGTTGAATAGGATTCATTTCTCAGTGCCCCTTCCAAATTGGCAAGTGAGGTGATCGACTTTTGCTGATCACATTAGTTTGAGTCTTTATCTTTGATTTTGCATCAGTAGATTTATTTACTGGATAGCTAAATTCGATCTACCATTGTATTTCTGTACAACGGAGTGAGTCTAGTTTTTGTATGAGCGTGGGTGTCTGAGTCTGTGTATCTTTGTGCGAATCTGTCTGTGTGTGAGTATACATGTCTCTATGTGAGTTGTGTCTACGCATCTCTGTAGGTCTCTGTGAGTGTCTCTATGCACCACTGTTTGTATGTGAGTTTGTGTGTCTCTGTGCACTTATTTGCATTTATACACATCCACTTTTTGTGTGACAGTTCCAGCAATGTTGTTGATCGGTTATTGTTGTCGCGTGACCGCTATACAGTCTGTGGTGACCTAAACTGTCCAGGATTTTCAAGCACATGCTTCCTTGTCTCCAGGTGACTGGGTTTGACAGTGTGGATGATGAGTCGAAGCCAGAGGAGGGTGTGTTCACTGTGAACAGTCCGCTGCCCGGGCAGTGGACTCAGAGCAAGAACCCCTCGTACTCGTACTACCTGTACTACACCTATGCTAACATCACCGTGCTCAACCACCTGCGCCGGTGAGTTCCTCAGAGTTCTTGCGAGTCTCTGTTAGACTCTGTGAGATCCACTGAGACTGTGTCTCAGAAGTGAGTCTCTATGTCTCTGTGTATATGTGTGTCGATGCATCTACGCTGGTTTCTGTGTTCGTCTGCGTATATCTGTGAATCTCTCTGAGTGAGTGTCTCTGTGCATGTCTGTGGGTCTCTCTGTCTTTAAGTGATTGTGTGTCTCTGTGAGTCTATGGGTCTCTTTGTGGGTCTTTGTGAGCCTGTGAGTCATCTGTGTGAGTCTGTAGATCTCTTTCTGAGTCTGTCGGTATCTGTGTGATTATGTCTCTGAGTGGGTCTGTATTTGAGCCTGTGGATCTTAACTCATCGTTTGAGTGAGTCTCTGCATCTATCAGTCTGTGAGTTTTTGGGTCTGTGTGAGTGTCTCTGTGCATGTCTGTGGGTCTCTCTGTCTGTCTTTAAGTGATTGTGTGTCTCTGTGAGTCTATGGGTCTCTTTGTGGGTCTCTGTGAGCCTGTGAGTCATCTGTGTGAGTCTGTAGATCTCTTTCTGAATCTGTCGGTATCTGTGTGATTGTCTCTGAGTGGGTCTGTATTTGAGCCTGTGGATCTTAACTCATCGTTTGAGTGAGTCTCTGCATCTGTGAGTCTGTGAGTTTTTGGGTCTGTGTGAGTGTCTCTGAATGAAGCTGTGTCTCTGTGTGAATCTTGTGAGTCTCTCTGAGTCTATCGCTGAAGGAGTCTCTGTGCCTTGATGTGAGTCTGTGTCTTTGAAGTCATCACCACTCCCGATGCTGGCTGCACTTGCAAATAGTCCTACAATCCGACGCAAGAACGAATGTCACATTGCGAGAATAAAAAAAATAACCTAACGAACACAACACTACCTCATTTACAAAGATCTTGACAATCCACCACCACCTATACGAAAAGCATGCTGATCGTTCTGGAGAACAGCAGAGGCTCTTTTGGGGTCGAACATCACTCCAGAGGAAATGTGGCATCACCGATGGGCCAGTGTAGATAAAAAAAAATTGCCGAATCTCCTGGCTTCCCACAATCAATGGTTTATCATAAACCACATCAGGGCTTCTCATGGGTGATATGGATCATTTATGATGCATAAGCGGCATAATAGACAATCCACACTGCAATTGTGGTGCACTTCAAACAGTGGACCACGTCGTAAACAGTTGCCTGTTATATTCACTTTCCGGCAGGACAATAAAAGTTAATTTTGCATCAGTAGATTTTCTTTACTGGATATCTAACCCTTGTTTTATATACAACAGAGTAAGTACATCTGTGGTTTGTGTCTGTGGGTGTCTTCATGAGTCCGTGGGTCTGTTTGTGAGTGTGTATCTCTGTGTGAGTCTGTCTACGTACCTGCTGTAGGTCTTTGTGTGAAGTTTGTGGATATCAGGAATATGATTTAACACCTAATCTTTTGCAACCAATATTTAAGTACATTCATTATTTTGTGATTTAATTTACGCTAATTACGCTGTATGCCAAGAAAAAGTGTGTAAACCCCTTGGGATTTTCACATTTTACAGATTTCAAACCTAAAATGTTATGAAATCTTAATCTAAGTCCTAATAATAGATAAAGATAACCTGATTAAATAAATGACACAAAAACATGATCCTCTTTCAACGTTTATTCCTCTTCAAATGATTCTACATTCAATAACCATGTGTGATAAAGTATGTGAACCTTTAGATTCAGTAACTAGTGACACCCCCTTGGGCAGTAATGACTGCAACTAAAGTGATTCCTGTAACTCCTTCAACTCGGTGCTATGTATGGGTTGCCTTGCATGGACAGCTTGCTTCAAGTCCTACCAAAACATTTTTATGGGGTTTAGACCATTTAAAATACGGAATTTATTTTTCCGCAGCCATTCTTTTGTAGATCTGCTTGTATGTTTAGGATGATTGTGTTGCTGCAAGACCCACTTTTGGTTCAGCTTCAGCTCATGGATGGATGGCCTGACATTCTCCTTTATAATCTTCTGATACAATGCAGTGTTTAGTTTTCGCCAAACAACGTTTCTCATTGAAGCCTAAAAGATCTACCTTTGACTCATCTGTCCAAAGAACATTGTTCAAGACGTCTTGTGTGGATCATCTATGTGCTCTTTGGCAAATGTCAGACAGGCAGCAATGATCTTTTTGGAGAGCAGTGGTTTGTTCTTTGCTATTCTCCCATAAACACCATTCTTGTTCAGTCTTTCTCTGATAGTCGAGTCATGAACACTCACACTAGCCAAGACGAGAGTGGTCTGCAGATCCTTGGATGTTTCTCTGGGATGCTTGTGACTTCCTTGATGATTTTCCAGTTCTTGGATCGATTTTGGTAGGATGACTGCTCCTGCGTAGAGTGACTGTGGTCTTGAACTTCCTCCATTTGTATACTATCTGTCTTGACAGTTGATTGGTTGAGCCCCAAATCCTTAGAAATGGTTGTGTAACCCTTTCCGAACTAATGAGCATCTATAACTCTTTTTCTGAGGTCCTCAGAGATTGATTTTCATTGTGGCATGACTTGTTTCCACACACCTGTATGGTGAAGACCAAACTCACAAACTTTCTGATCTTTATATAGGGTGGAGCCTCCCAAACTCACCTCCTGTAGATTTATCTAATTATTTAAACACCTGATTCTAGTAATTCCCTCAATTGAGCAAATGAAATCAGGGCTTCGTTTAATTTTTCACATACCCTGGACCTTAATTATTAATTGTTTAATTCATACATCATTTTGTTTCAAAAGACACGGAATTGGTTAATTTCAACCCTATTTGATATTTAAGAAAAACTGGCTTTGATTCAAGAAGCCTATCATTGTAAAACTATGGCATTTCCATAATTATCATTGGGGGTAAACAAACTTGGTGGCTTCTGGGGGGGAGGGGGTGCCGGATTTTCAAAAACTCCGGCTAATCACTAATCATTATTTAAAAGTTTTTTTTATTCACATTCTTGCATGACATTACATTTTTAGGTGTTATATGCTTTTTGTTCGTGTTCTAAATGTATTAACTATGTAATTGGCATAAATAAACTGAAATAGACAAAAATAAACATTTTATTTTAATCAGTTACTGTGCTGTGTATCATGTACTGTATATAATATTTAACGCCGAAATCAAGCAAAGCTACTTTTTTCGTCACGCACATGGTGCCAATCGCCGTAATGGTTACAGCATTTGGAGTAGTTTTGCCGGTTTCGTCAGATTGGGCCGGAACCGCCGGATAATTTTGGAAGCCGGATATTCACGCACAGGATAATCGATGATCACTATAATTCACAAGCTTGGTGTAGTATTTTGTTAACCAGACTGGATAATAAGATTAGTACGAGTGTAGGGGTATAGCGCTGGCTGCTGGCGGAAAAGGGTAACTGCGGTTGTATGGCAGTACTCGCGTCAGCAGGCCACAGTATATACGAGAGGGGGACATCTAGGGGAAAGGTCATAGAAGGGGCCCATTGGGGAGTCCCGGGAACCCGCTAGTAGGTTCCAGAAGGGGGGCGTGGCCGGGGCGGAGCAAGGCCAAGCTGGGAGCATAAGAGGGGGCCCTGAGCGGGAGCTTAGGGCAGTTGCTGGAAGTGGAATCCCCATCGTGGCTGTTCAAGACCATCGTCGTCTCTGTTTTCACCATCCCGCGGTGCTGTTAGACAGGCTACCAGTTCTAAGTAGTACTGCCGACAATAGATGGTCTTAATTATAATAGTGTGCACCCACGTAGGGTGTGTATATATCCCGATGGTGCTTGTTAAATAAATAAATGCCTCCAAGTATTACTGTCTCCGATCTGTGTCACTACACGATGATAAAAGAACACCATAGGAACATCAAATACTCAAACACCATTGTCAGCAGTTGCGGAACATGCCTGCCAACAAGGACGTCCAATTTTTTTTTATAATGTTGATGTACTATGAATAGCTAATTACTATTGGCCAAGAGAACCCACCTGACAGCTATAGGCGGAGTAATGCTTGGAAATGCATTCAGTATTTATATCACAACCTGAATAGAATATTGTGTTCACATTATTGATATGAACAGCATTGTTAACTTTACTCACCAATTTAGTATTACTCATGAACTATGGCTAACCTTTATCGCCACCATTATATTTACATATCTAAAAATATACAATTTAACATAACACAACGTATTGAAATATATTCAACTTCATGTATCACTTCCTGTCACTTCCTGCTGTTTTCTGGGTGCATATTGATGACATCGCACCACCTCTTGAAGGCCCAAAGACTGGATGACTTTCAGATTTCTGGCATCTGCTTGATGATGCTGGTTTTAATTACCAGTGAAGTGAGGAATCAAATTATTAAATGTTTTTCATTTCTTTCCAGCACACTACTGTGCTGAAGCAGTAGTGCATTGGCACTTTTATTTATGTTAACAATTTGTTAATTGGCTGTGTCGGGTTGTGGAGGGTTTAATAAACAATATTTAACTTTAGACGATCTGAACCAAAAATCAATTATCAATCAGCAATACGATTCTTAACTATCGGGAGAAACTGCCCAGAGTGGCTGCCTTGTTAGAATGTGTGTGTACCTCTGTCCCTCTGTGTGTGTGTGTTTCTGAGCGTGTGTATATTAGGCGGGGAGCTGTAGTGTAGTGGTTAGCACGCTGCACTACCAACCTGGCAACCCGAGTTCGATTCCTGCTCACAGCTAACACCAGCGACGATTATCTGAACCGGTGCCGAGCTTCCCCTAGGTTGACTCGGCCTCAAATGAGTACCTGGTGTGATGTATAAACATCGCCACTAGGGAGACAAAGCTGGCCGGGCGTGGTGCTGGCCACCCACTCCCTCGTGTGCCGTGCCGGCCTTCATAGGTGCCCGCTAACAATACTCGCCCCAACAGTCTGATAAGGCTATATGGGGAATCTTTGTCTTTTGTATCTCTATGGGGGGTGATAGTATTGTGGCTATCGCACACGGGCATCTGAGTTCATTCCCACTCACAATCAATAACAGTGGCAAATATATAAACCAGTCCTTGGCCTCCCCTCGGTCAACTCCACCTCAAATGCATATCTGGTGTGATATTTTAATCATTAGCACTGAGGAGACAAGGACATAGTGTGGGCTACCTACCCACCCCGTGTGACCCTCTGCTCACAACCTTCATGATGGCGGCAGGCCCAGGTAAAGCTGCCTGGCCTGGAGTCAGAGCCATTTCTTCTCCTTGGAATAAACAAGGATATCCTCTGGCTGCTATATTTAACATATTTTGACCAGGTGGTCCAAGAAGCGTTCCATGGTTGTACCAGACGAATTTCCACCTAGTACAGATACAATGGGTGGCAGATTGATGCCTTGGTAGAGTCAAGAGATGGCTCCCTATTGGTCAACCATGTTAAGTATGCTGATGATCTGGTGATTTATGCTCACTCTTGAGAAAGAGTTGGAGGCTCTGCTGCTGAACCTGGAGCATGCTACTAAGAGATGGGGGCCTTAGCATCAGCCACACCTAAACTAAGCACCTGCATGGGTATGTGTCATCAAATACTCCACCTCTTCAACTCCCCATGAGTGATGGTCAGTTGTCAAGAGAGTGGAGAAGTTTCCATACCCGGGCAGTGTGCTTATATGACTAGCTCCGGTTTGGCTGCAGAGGTCTCAAAATCAGTCTGGCAGAATTTTATTTTTATCAACTGTGTAACGCTGCTGTGTGGAGGCTACCTGGCCCTTTGCTCCATACGAAGCTTCGGGTCTTCTTGTCCACAGTTATGCTCTCCCATTCTCTATGCTTGTGAATATTTAGACTGGCTTGCCTGCGATTTATGCTGGGTTTAATTAAACTGTATCGTGCGATGGGCTTAAAGATCCTTGAAATATCTGGACACAGTGCCATCGGTGAACTCCACTGGCAGACAAGGCTGCGTTGGATGGGTCATGTACCCATTCCCAAGCAACTTCTGTTTGGCTGGCTACAGCGACTAAACAATCATGGCATGGGCTGGAGAAGAGATCAGATGATGTGGTACAGGAGGATTTGGAGCTGAGTTGACTTGCCAAAGACTGGTACCAGTGGTGTCAAGATCACCTCTGGAGAAGGCTCGTAAAGTACGCTACTGGCCAATTGTAGGCATTCACTAACAATAACGGGTGGGCAGAGGAGTGATGCTCACAACGAGCGGAGTGCCGGCCGGCTAAAACGCAGCAAATTGGCACAGTGGGGTGCACATGGGATGCATCTGCCGGTCATGTCAGTCATTCCACCCATGGCACCTGAGTCCGTCCTGTAACCCCCTCAACACTTCACTTGGCCTCAGTGCACTTAGCCTGGCACAAGCGTTGTGATGACGTTGCCACTACTTAGTGGCGAGAGGCAGCTGTTGTTGTCCCTGTGTGTGTGTATAATGATTATGTTTGTCTCTCCCCTGTTACTTCCTTTGTGTGTGTGTCTCAAACCATTTTTCCCTGTGTCCCTGGTTGACCTCTGTGTTTGAGTGTTCCTCTATCGCTCTCTGCCCTTGTCTCCCTCTCCCCATTGCTCTTTCACCACATGCAGGGAGAGGGGTCTCTCTACGTTTGTGTTTCGTCCCCACTGTGGAGAAGCGGGACCAGTGCACCACCTTGTGTCCGGGTTTCTGCTCGCAGAGAACATCTCACATGGACTGCTCCTCCGCAAGGTGCGCACGCAAGGAGAAACACAGAGGGAGACATGGAGAGAGAGACACGGAGAGGGAGACACGGAGAGGGAGACACGGAGAGGGATAGCGAGCGAGAGGGGGGAGCTAGATACAACCGGGAGAGAGACATGGTGAGAAAAACAGAGAGAGATACACTGAGAGAAATATACAGAGGGATTCACGGAGAAAGATATGGGGAGACGGATTAATGAAAAGGTGCATGGGGAAAGACGCAGGGAGAGGAGCTGGGGAGAGTATGAGACACAGAGAAGGGGGACAAATGAGAGAAAGAGGGAGCAAGACAGAGACAGATACACATGGAGAAAGACGCAGGGACATGATGAGTCGGAGATAGCAGGGTGGGGAAAGATGTGGAGAGAGATAGACACGGACAGAGACATGGGTGGGGAGAGAGATAGACACGGACAGAGACATGGGTGGGGAGAGAGGCGTGAACTCGGAGCTCCTGAAGAACATTTCTGTTATCAAGATACCTTGTTTCATCCTAATTGCTCTAATTACAAGAGTGATTTTAAATAAGTGTTACTCTATGCTCACTGTAGGCAGGTAATCACCTGATTTGTGTTGTTTTTGTGCTTATTTTCTCTATTGTTTAAGCCTTGCTGACAAGCAGGCAAGCACATACAGTCGTCCCTCAGTTAACAGTGACATCGGTTTACGGTTTTTCGATGAACATTTTGCATACCATAGAACCCCTTGGTTTCGACTAACGTTAACATTGTGTACTCTTTGGTTCTTTCGGTAAAGTCACGTAGGTAGAAATAAAATCAATCACGACGTTTCGATCGCAATACAAGTGATCTTCATCAGGTGGGACAACCACAGCAAGAAAATACTTAAGTCGGTAGGAGAGCTGCCGTGGCAACAGGTTAGATAGGTAAGAGAGGGGGGGGGGTAGGGGGAGGGGGGGCCGCGTGAGTGCTAGGGGAAGAGGACGTGAGGCTGGGGGGGGACATGGGCGGGGCTAGCAGTAAACCGGCAGGTAATGATGGAAACAACAAGTTAAGGCATTACCTGGTTGATAACATCCTTCCAATGATTGTTCAATTTGTATCCATCTTCTCGGTTGAAGTTTTGTCTTTATATATCTGGATGGCTTCATGAACCAACCTTTGATAGTAGCCCGAAGGTTTGCAGAGTACATTGGTCTCGGAAAAACAATATAGACAAAACTTCAAGCGAGAAGATGTATGCAAAAGTAAACATTGTTAATATTAATACTGCAACCATATGAACCATTAAAGACGCATGGTATGCTTTGCAGTGGATGTTAACATTTAATAAGAGTAGGCCATTGTGTCTTTCTATCGTGGTCCAAATTTGCCAAATTCACAAATTACCTGCAAATGACTCAATTGCCATTACACATAGCAAGCATCACCCCCATGTAGCTACTGCAGACTACTGTATGTGCAGTATTGCACCTTTGCGATAGCCTTGTGCTGTAATCGTAGTGCGAATACCAAATACAGCAATACCCCGATTTACATCTCCCCCTTTTACATCGTTTAGAAAATACGTCGTCACTGTATTATCAACAACACCGCTACCCTACTCACGTTGCCTCAACCCACACGACGCAAATTTGGACCATGATGGCATTGTCCGCCCTTTCTCGTAACCGTCGCCTTTCAGCCTTTGCCTCCCACCTACCCTGTACACAAACGACTTTGTCGCACATAAACCAACGTACTGTACCGAGTACAATATAGTAATTACATACGGTATTTTGATTTCTTTATAGTGTATTGTACGTTATTGTACCCTGCATAAAATGTGTTAAAGGTTACTGCTGTACACTAGTGTTGAGTGCCATTTTTAGTATTGTCTTGTAATTTTATGTAACGTTGTGGGTACGTCTGATGAAGATGTGCATATTAACGTACAGCTTCACCGTACCCTCCGTTGTCTTTGTTTAGCTCTCGTAACATGCAGACTTGGCTTGCTTCGATTGTCATCGTTTTGATATTCGTCGGCGCAACTTTCAGGAACGCATCCCCGGACGTAAACTGGGTTATTGCTGGTGTAGTGTGCTAATTTACAGACACTAGTAGGAGGTACTTTTATTCTGGCCTTCACAGCCTTAGGGGATAACCACGTACCCGGTCGGGACAGCTAACATGCTGCCAGACCCACAGCTTGCAGAGTGCGAAGATCACGACGATAACGGCACGACGAGTTCCATTCCAGATCGCAGCCGCCCCTACTGAAATCGGAGCTTGCCTTATATCCTGAACAGCGTGGCCAGGCTCCGCCCTCGGCCCCGCACCCCTCTGGATCCCCCAGAGGGCTCTGTGCCTTGCCCACAGGTGCCACTGGTAGAACGGGCTGTCCCCCTAATTCTATGGTCTACCAATCTCCTAGCGGCACGCGCTGCAGTGACTCATTCTATGTCACTATACTGGTATACGTACCGAGATGATTCTTTGGAGTGGTGTTACACAATGTATACGGGCGTGGCGGAGTTCTCCATCTAAACCTCTTGAGTGGGATTTGGAAAAAAGAGCACACATTCTACAACTCACAAGCATGAGAAATGCATAAGAAATAATCTTATATATAATCGTATATATATAATCTTAAATTATCTTAAAGTATTGATGAAGCTGCAGTTCACAAACACAAACCGACGTTTTTTTTCTGATCGGCAATAAGAGAGAGCGAGACACGGCGGAAGACGAAGAGAGACGTGGAAAAAGCTGTACATGCAGAGAGAGAGAAGGATATGGGAAGTGAGAGAGACGGAGAGAAAGGGACAGAGACATCGGGAGACATGGGGAGGGACAATGGTCAATTTTCATGTGTTTATGATGCTGTTGTGACTAATGATTGTGTTATTGCATATGATATACATGACTCTCGTAATAGTTACTATTGTGGCGGTAGTAACGGTTGTGGTGGTTGTGCTGCAGGCGCCTGTGTTGCAGTACCTCTACTACCTGTGTCAAGTTGGCATTGCGATGTCTCCACTCAGCAACAACTCCCTGTTTCTGCCGTACCACCGAAACCCTCTCCCTGAGTTCCACGCTCGCGGGCTCAGGGTGTCTCTCTCCACTGACGACCCCCTGCAGTTCCATTTCACCAAGGTGATTCACTTGTCCATCTCTATGGTGTAACAAGAGTAGTCTTCATTATGAGGACGTGGTCCCTTTAAGATCCAGTGTCCCTTTGAGATACAGTGTCCCTTTAAGAAATAGTCCATGTAAAACAGGATCCATTCATGAACAGACTACACCCTGCAATTCCACTAAGATGACGAATTGATCATCACGGTGTGTTATCATGGTAACCAGCCACGGGGGAATGAGGGCAGTGCCACCAAATGTGGGATAAGGTCCCTTTAATAATTCGCACGTTTTCTTTAAGGAATTTATATTGTGTGTATGGTTGTGGTGGTGACTTTTATTGTGGTTATTTTGAAAGTAGTAGGAGCCTTTAAGTAGTGACTAGTTATGGTGTAGTGTATATGTTCATTTTATAATCATTAATGGTACTATGTTGGTTGTTGCAGTGGTTGTAGGAACCACTGGAGGAGTGATTGGTTGTGGTTATGGTTACATATATTAATATTGGTAATGTTATGTTGTGGTTGTTGTAGGAGCCACTGATGGAGGAGTACAGTATCGCAGCTCAGGTCTGGAAGCTGAGCTCATGTGACATGTGTGAGCTTGCGAGGAACAGCGTGCTGATGAGCGGGTTCCCCCTAGAGGTAAGCGACTTGGGGGGGAGGGGGCGGCACGGGGATAAACAGGGGACACACAGGGAGAGACGGCACACTGGGGAGAGACGTGTGGGGAGAGAGTGATACGGGGGGGGGGGCAGAGGGACTTGTAGAGAGAAAAAGAGAGACATGGGAGAGAAGAGGGAGACACGAGAGATAGAGGGAGAAGAGAGGGAGAGAGAGGTACCAAGGAGAGATCCACACATGGGGAGAGAGTGAAATTGTGGGGTGAAGAAGGAGACAGCGAGAGAGACCTGGGGAGAAAGAAACATGGAGGGAGAATCGAGAAGAGACAGAGGGGAAAGATGGAGGCACTGGGGGAAAGAGATACATGGGGGAAAGAGAGTGAGACGTGGAAAGAGAGACAGGTGGAGGGACACGGAGAGACATTGGGACAGGTGAGGAAGAGGAAGACACAGAGACACAGGAAGAAAGGACACAAATACTGTCACACCTCTACCACTCACTTAATCACACCCCCCCACCACCCCCCCCCACCACCCCCCCCCTCACCACCACCACCCCCACCACCACCCCCCCCCCCACCACCCCCCCCACCACCCCCCCACCACCCCCACCACCCCCCCCACCACCCCCCCCACCACCCCCCCCACCACCCCCCCCACCACCCCCCCCACCACCCCCCCCACCACCACCCCCCCCCCACCCCCACCACCCCCCCCCCCAACACCCCCACCACCACCCCCCCCCCCCCCTCACAAAGGTGCAACGCCACTGGCTGGGAGCCCAGCTGGAACGGGAGGGGCCCCCCGGTAATGATATCCGGCGCACGAACGTCCCCGACATCCGCGTGGCCTACCGGCACGAGACGCTCTCCCAGGAGCTCGCCATGCTCACCCAGGCTACACCCACCAGGCCCGAGGCCACGCCCTGCGCCACTCCTTCTATGGGCATGCAGATCACACTCGCTGGTGGCCCGGCTTCGGAAGGTCCTTACAAGGGCACGCAAGGGATGGGGGGAAGCCTTCGTATGGGTGGGCAGGTTTCGCTCACTGGCACTCAGCCAGTGGAGAGTCAGGTGACGCCCAGCGGCTCTGGACCAGTGCCCACCGGTGGCAAGACATCGAAAGTCATATTCTGTAATGAATGAGATGATGGTTTTAATGTCAATGATTTTAAGGCTATTACGTCACTGTTATGAGTACTATTGGAATTGTACTTTTTAATGATAGCATGTTGCACATGTTTTTTTGTATTGGCAAATTAATCCGCCCCACAAGGGTCTAAATTGCTAAAAAGTAAATTGTGAGAGAGCTGAGGATGGGTCAATATGGAACACGGAACATGTCCACCTACGATTAATTAGTTAATGAGCCTAACGATAATACTTATGGGTCACTTCCATGACATTGCTTATGCCAGCTTATGATACTAGACTTAGGACATTAGAAATGTATCTGAAGATACTTGGCTTCTTATATACTAAGCTTACGATAGAGACCCATAGACTCGCACTGAATGTGAACCAACTGTCACTGTTTTAACATGCTAATTACACTTCATAAGCTAAGCAAACTCATTGCCGTATAACCCCATAGCTAATGTGCACTGCCATTTTGAAATGGAAAATGAAGTATATTTAAGTGTAGTAACAGTAGTGATTGTTATAGTATTTGTAATAGACGCTTTTCGAAGTATGTGATTGGTGCTTATGTGTAGCATTTGCAGAAAATGCTTTGTACAGGCAGACCACTCACTTAGCGCAACCCCGTAGAAACTCTGATTCATTATGGCGCTCTTTGTCCCCTGGAGAAAATGTTTTGATAGAAAATTTGTAATCAAATAGTGCAAAGAAAAAGCATTTACGAGAGTGAGAACATGAAGCAGTGCTGGGCAGATGAAACGTCCCCGCCCTCATCATTCGCTCAGCTAATGAGAGCGACGCACGGCTCTCAGCCAACCAGACCCCACCCCCCACTGATTCGATTATCACGATTCGTAGTCACGATTATACTTTAAAAAATCGATTAGTTTAGTCAGACGAGAACTCACAAGACCAGGATAATCTTTTAGGCTCCACCTAAAAAAACCTCACAACAGATGTGTACACTGGGAGTGTCACGGAGATCCTGGAGCTCTTCTCTGAGCATGACCGCGGATTGAGAACGCAGCAGCAGTCTCTGCTGCCTTGTAGGAGTCCAGTAAAATGCACTCGTGAGGTACAGTACATATTACTGATGATCTCAATAATTTTTTTAACATAAAATGTAATTTTTTAGCGCTATTACTGATACCCCAATGAAGCCCTATATTGCTCATACAAAAGAAATAATGATTGGCGCTAACTTCACCAATGCACCTTGAGCGCGATGTGAGGTCTGCCTGTATTTGATGTATTCCTACTATAATCACCAGAAATGTCCTTAACGCTCATGACGTCACTCCACATCGACCAGCCCCCCTCATTAATAATCATGAACAGGTTACGTCCTCCACATGGACCCCCCCCCCCCCCCTCATAATCATGAGCAGGTGATGCCACTCCACATGGAGCACCATCCCCCCTCATCACTGCACATCGAACAGCCCCCTCAATAATCATAAGGTGACGTCCTCCAAATGGACCCCCCCCCCCTCAGCTGATGTCACTCCACATGGGGGGCCGAGGCGCCTCCTCCCCCCTCCTCGGCGTCAACTTACAACCCTCACTAAAAAGGCAGAACCCTCACGTCACGCGATCTCCGTAACGCTATTGAGACAAGTAAAAAGGACGTAATGATAAACGAGGGATTATAAGCTTAAAATGAAATAGGTCTGTGTCACACCGCACCCTTACAAATTGCACACGCACTAATGCAATGAATATCACGTCGCGGTCTGCTTTTCGCTTGCAAGTTTCAGATTTACTGCAATACACCCGTCCTTCAACGGGCAAAAGGCTAGTTATATATAAAGTATAATTGAATATATGTATACACAAAGAAAAATATGCCCCATGTAGCCTTTAACAGACTTTTGGGGAAAGTGCTGTTGCAAGACACTAATGAAGGCTGACACTGCACACAAGGGGGTGGGTGGCCAGCACCATGCCTAGCCACCTTTGTCTCCTTAAATGGCGAGTTTTACACTGCTCCAGGTACTCAATTGAGTACACACTCAGATAGACATACAATTGCCACCATTCACCAGTAATTGAAGTCACCACAGCGCTTTGTGCCAGGCTAGGTTCACTGAGGACATCAAGTGAAGTGTGGAGGGCTTACTAGCAGGCGGTCTTGCTACAGGCCCAAGTGTTATGAGTTGACTGAGATAACTAACAGATGTATCATCTGTGGTCTCTGCTGTGCCGCCTCGCTTTCCTTTAGCTGCCCATCGAAGGGTGACTGCCTCCATTTTCCCAGAAGCCTCACAGTGCACCAAGCCTATCACTCCCCAGTAGTCGCCTAGCCTGTCGCGCCTCAGTAGCGTCCTTTGCAAGCCTGCTTCCCAGAGGCTGATCTTTCCATTGCTGTTACCAGTTAATGTCAAGTCCAATCGGCTCCAAATCCGATGATGACAGCCCATATTTTCTCTTTAACAGCCTGTGCCACACCTGTTTAGCCCCCCCCCCCCCCACTCTGTCGGACCAAAGAGAAGTTTTTTGGGCATGTGGTGGCTGGCAATGTGGGCTGCATGACGCAGCTAACACAGTCTGATCGGACCATATTCAAATCTCTCAAACATCTGGTTAAACTCAGGATTAATTTTAGGCAGGCCACCTGGTGCAGGTGTTCATTTAAAGTGGGCCATGTCTTTCGCATTGAGAATAGAAGGCATAACAGCACGAGAAGACATTGAGCGTCATGGAGCTATAGGTCAAGTATCGTCTACGTAGCATTACACCACTGATGAAGATGAGACCTCGAGTCATGAGCAGACTGCCCAAGTATGGGAATGCTTCCACGATCTCCACCACTGCACCAATGATTAATGTCACAAGTAAATTAATGCTACATTACCATAATTATTATGTGATTCAATAAACGTCAAAGATAATGTTAAGACTACCGTATAATAAAATAATTACTGCCTCGCACTTGTCTCTTATTAGTTAAGTGCACAGATATATACATTTAAGGATAGGGGTTAAGGGTTGGAGGTTAGGGTTGAGGGCTAAGGTTAGTGTTTTTCAGGTTAGGTTAGGGTTCGTGTTTGGGGTTAAGGTTAGATTATTGTTATTCCTATTACGGTTTACCCAGACTCACAACTTTTATGATGGTCCTGTCAAGTTTTTGCAGGAGGGAGAAATGTTGCCGAGTTATTTGCATGTAATTTTCACCATTGGGATGTTTTGGCCACTACCAGTCAGATTTGTGGTTAAGGTAAGGATAGGATCAGGGGATTGGGGTTAATGGATGGGTTTGAGGTTTAGGATTATGCTTAGGGGTTTAGGTTAGTTTTGGGCTTAGGGGAGGGATAGGGTCAGGGATTGGGTTTACGATTTGGGATGATGGTTAGGTGCTATTAAGGATAGGGTCAGGGGTTAGCATATGGGTTAGGGGTAAGGGTTAAGAGGTTAGGTTTAGGGGTTAATAGTGTTACCGTTTCAGGTTGGGGTCAGGGATTATGTGAAGTATCAAAGGCTCGCTGACAGGTGGTCAGGACAGACCCTGGTGGCATGGGTTTACTGATGTGACTGGCGGATTCCCCACCTGTATCCCCATTGTGCCACCTCGCTGCTTTTATCTGACCGGGACTCTGCTCGTTGTGAGCATTGCTCCTCCGCGCTCCTCTGTTAGTCGAGGGCGACTGCCTCCCAACTGCCCAGTCGCGTCCTCTACGAGCCTTCTCCATAGAGGCCAATCTTGACACCGTTGGCATCAGTATTCGGCAAATCCACTCAATTCCACAGCTCATCTCTTCTCTCGCCCATGCCGAGCGTTTCGCCCCCCTCTATCCGGCCGAACAAGATGGTTGGCCATGCGATGACTGGGCATGTGCGCTCATGACGGAGTACAGTACATGCAGTAATCTACTTACGAACGCCCGCACTTTCGAACCAGCTGCCATAAAATTATATTTTACATCGACTTGAAACGCAAACTTGCACTTGCAAACTGAACTGAGGAACTTTTGTTCAGCGGAGCGATCCTCTGCGAGATGTAATGAGCCAGCCTCGTGCTGGGAGTGTGTATCGTCCTCGCTGTGCGCTGCGTTGCATCACTTCGAGTAGTCAACCTCGCATTCAATAAATCTTCAGAGCCAGGGTCAACATCCGACAACAAACATTTAATGAATTGAACGAGGTAAAACTGATGGAAAAACAGCACAAAATACAGCATCTGTCAATACTTGGAATATCAATACAATGAACACTGCAGCATCGTAACATTGTCTTAGATAACATGAAACCCCACAATAGGTCCTGGATGGACCAGGCACCTACATTAGCACTCAATCGCTATTCAAGAGAATAAGCTACTGTGTTGAATAAGGTCACTTCGTGTAATCACCATACTGCAGCCTAAATGTACGGCGCTGCACATAACACTGAACTGTGGATGAGAAACTTCTTCATCCTTGCTCTCAAGATCGCATTAAAGTTACATGGGTACAAGTGGCAGGTTTCGTTAACTCGGCCTCATCATAACAATTTAACAGCATTATAAAGGCATGTATAGCATTATAACGACAATCCTAACATTCCCAGTATTATAAGAACATAAACGAACTTACAGACAATGCTTCTCAAAGTCCCACAATGAACAGATGCACTTCACTGATACGCTATTTGTGCCTCCATGTTGTACTCTGTGTAATTGCTGATACCCTGCCATCATGGCTTCGAGAATGTCAAATCGTAACATCCTGGTCACGTGATCAAACTCAACACACCTGTCGTGAGGCAGAACAGAGTGTGTGTATGTGCGCGCGTGTGTGTGTGGGGAGCGGTAGTGCAGCGGTTAGCGTGCTGCACTACGAACCCGGCGAATTCGATTCTCTCTCACGGCCAACACCAGTGACGATTATCTGAACCGGTTCTGGGCCCCCTCCCCTCCGTTGACTCCTCCCCAATTGACTACTTCGTGCGATGTGTAAAAACATTTCCACTTCATAAGATGCTCGCTAACAGCACTTTCCACAACAGTTTGTTAAAGCTATATGGGGGATCTTTGTGTGGCGAGCGGTAGTGCAATAGTTAGAATGTTGTGCTATAAATCTGGCAACCCGAGTTCCATTCCCACTCAGGATCCACATCACTGACGATTATTTTAATGGGCCCTGGGCCTCCCCTAGGTCGACTCAGCCTCAAATGAGTACCTGGTGCAGTATGTGAACATCGCCACTCGGGAGACAAAGGCGGCTGGACGTGGTGCTGGCCACTCACGCTCTCGTGTTCAGTGCTGGCCTTCATAGGCGCTGCTCGCCAACAACACTTGCACCAACAGCCTGTTGAGGCTTCACGGGGGATCGTTGTCGTTGGTTGTGTCTGTGTGCAATTGTGGTGACTCATTGCTCCCCTTCCGACAAGCAAGCCAGCATCAGGTAAGTTAAAATAAAATAGATTTTCTATTAATGTTACTATTTTTGTTTTATTTACTGTACAATATTTGTACAGTATTACGATCGAATGTACAATATTTCTTATTTATGAGTTTTCATTTCTTGTTGAACCGTAACACATTGCATAACACTGACCGTATGGCCATTTAAATAGCACTACATTATTGTGTTCCAACTTACAAAGTTTGACTTACAAACAGGTACCGGGAACGAATTGTGGTTGTAAGTCGAGGACTGTCCATACAGTACTTTGTTACGCCCGAATACACTCCTAAGCATTCTTCCTTGTGTGGGCTCTGTGTGTGCAGGTGTGTCGATAATATGAAGTGGTTGTGGAGAGAGTGGAGTTTCCCATACCTGGGCAGTGTGCTTATGATCAGCTCCGGTTTCACAGCAGAGGTCTCACTCCGAATCAGTCGTGCGGCATTATCTTTTCATCAGCTGCGCAATGCTGTGTGGAAGCTACCTGGTCTGTCACTCCGCTCGAAGCTTCGGGTCTTAGCCACAGTTATGCCCTCCCTTCTCTATGCTTGTGAAACTTGGACTTGTCTAATGAAACATCTGTGCCGGTTCAAACCATTTAGGATGGCATGCCTACGATCCATCCTGGGTTTCACCAGGCTGGATTGTGTGAGGAGCTCACACATCTTTGAAAGATCTGGACACATTCCCATCGGAGAGCTCCTCCGGCAGACAAGGATGCATTGGTTGGGTCATGTAGCTCGCATGCCCAGCCACCGCATGCCGAAGCAGCTTCTGTTTTTCAGTTTCATTTATTTGGTATAGCCCTGTGAGCCATTCGACTCTTGAATCGGGTGCAACCGTAACAAACAAAAACATGAACAAGAAAACATCTTAAAGTGACTACGTGCAAACAGAAAAATCCAGGAAAAAACAGCAAAGTCTTCCAGAAAAAGCACCGTATATCAATGTTGTGTGCAAAAATCCCAGTGGGATGCAAGTCAAACAATAACAACCAAAAGACAATTTTGATTAAAGTTATCAGTCTAACTCTGTACTACAAAAAATAAGGCTAAACCAAAACGTTTTCGAAATCACCAAAATAAAGCTATAAAATCAATGTAACAGTGATCATAGGAGCTGTAATTGAAATTTTACAATAAACCATATACATAACATGTACTACCATACTTTGCAGCCATAGCTGGCTGCATGAGTCACTCCATAACAGCAGGAGCATCAGTAGGAGTATCAACATTTTTCAATGCACCTTTAAGATCAGCACACTATAATCAAAACACAAGATCGTACTTTGCAGCGGTCATCCGGAGCGAACATTTAATTTCAAGCCACTGAATTGCAGTGACAGCTAGGGGTGTACAACTCCTCTAGAGCAGTTTTGAGTGAAGATCTCAGGTAGTGATCCAAGTTGCAGTTTATTGGCGATAGCATTCCAGACCCTGGGGGCATCAATAGCAAAGGCCCTTCCTCCAGTATTTGCACGGCAATAAGGAATGTGAAGCTGGTAAATGAGCGAAGACCTTAGGTCACATTTGTTCTTCGAAACAGAGAGGAGATCCAGCAGGTAGTCTGCGGATTTTTTTTGTAAGTACATCGTGAATAAATAAGATCTGATGCACGAGCCGTCGAACATTAAGAGATGTTAAGTTTGACCCAATGTAGAGATTACAGTGGTGAGTCCTATATGGGCAGTTCAATGCAAATCTTAAGGCCGAGTGATAAATTGAGTCAAGCTTCTTCAGTACAGTACTGGGGGCTGATTTATATACGACGTCACAGTGATCAAGTAGAGGCAGTATGGTAGCTTTTATCAATTCCAAACGGAACATAGGGGAGAAGCAGTGCTTGTGTCGATACAGAAAACCAATTTTTATTTTTGTCTTTTTACCAATATAATCAATGTGATCTTCAAAATTTAGTTTTGAATCAAGGATGACCCCAAGATACTTATAGATCTTGACTTGCTCTATTTGATAATTATTTAAGGAATGTAATTGGGGAAAAATAACTTCCTGCTTTAGTCCTGGTGAGAAGCATAGCACCTTGGTTTTGGAGGTATTCAGGACTAGTACTAGTAGGAACCTCCTGGTTCCACCATCCCACAGGGGATTATTGTGTCCGTCCGTCGTGCATCCAAGAATGGGAGGAGTGGGGCTGGGTGGAGAGGGGCTGGGGGAGGGAGGGGCTGGGTGGGGAGGGGCTGATTGGGGCTGGGTGGGGGGTGAGAGGGGTGGGGCTGGGTGGGGAGGGGCTGGTCACCCCGTGGTGCCCTTATAAAACTCAACGTTTATCCTACTCATGGCGGCTTGTGCCCGCCCTCACAGTCGGGCATATTTGTGGAATACACCACGCTGCCGTTGACCCTAGCCATTGACCGAGCAACCCAACGTTCCTACCAGCACCCTCCGCAGGAATGTGTTTTAAGAGCAACTAGCTGATGTTGTAGTTTGTTGAAATCACCCTGGAGCTTAGCAATCACGTCATCCAGAGAGTGGCCAGTAGTAATCAGTATCGTGTCATCTGCAAAAAGATGTACCCTGGAATGATCCA